ACAGTATTTTCTTTCATTAAAAATACACGTAAATTAAAAATGGTTCTAATCCATGAACCAAACGTCTCCTAAAACTTCCTATTGTATAACCATGCCTGTATGCTTTGACATCATCGCCAAGCATAACAAAATCTAGCACTAGATTTGAACGCAAGTATTATGTGTACATGAAATTACTACTTTTAGCCCGCAAACCATAACCCGATCTATATGATAGCTCACTTACGATATGTGATGATCTTTTTTTTTTTTCCGGAAAAAGAAAGGGAATAGTACTTTATGAAGATCTCAATGAATAAATGAACTGAGCAACCAAAAATAATCTTGGAACATATTACTCAAACTAAATTTGGTTTTTCTTTTCTTTAGTGGAAAAATCTGATTTAAAGCACATTCCCTTTTAAGTGCAAATATTTTATCTTGATTCTTGTGGTAAAAAATAGAAGCCAATGGTGCTTTTTACAAAGTCATGTTATACATTTTTTGTGAGTAACTATACATATATGTATAGAAAGAATATATATATATACACGGCTTAGTGATTAATAAATATGAATCAAGTCGAATCTTACCCTTGCTTAATGTCTAATTTAAATGTGTTATTTAGAATATTTGCCAGGCCGTTGGACACTGATAATTAATTTTCAGTCGATAAATTTTCTATAAGTGCAGTATGTATGTGACAATGGAATTTTCGACCTTTGCCCTATCTGAATATTTATCAAGAAGCTGACTCTATTAATTTGTAATAATTAAATTTTAAATTAGGAATGACGATTAATATTATGCATGGCCTGATCTATTAGCTCTAGAAAAATAAAGAAAATGATGTACTGGTAAAGATTAGTTTGAAAATATTAGTCGATACATAATATATATATATATATATATGTGTGTGTGTGTGTGTGTGTGTGTGTGTGTGTGTTACATTACGTAGGTTCACAAAAGTTTTATTTTAGTTAACCATGAAAATAGAAAAGGAAAGATATAAGCTAGAATGACTAATTGCTAAATTTGTACTACTTGAACAGAGCTCTCAATGGGAAAAAAAAAGTGTAAAATCAGCTTAAATCAAAAGCTGTATTGCACTTTTTAAAATAGTTCATAAGTGTAATTGTAGCTTCTTTTATAACAATACTTCAATAGTAGCTTATTCTTTTCTTGTTTCTTTTACGCGCACCAAATATGCATATAAGAAAATTCCAAATAAAGAAATCAATGCATATAAACATGTTTTATTACCCTAAAAACGTGTTTATTTTTTCATAAAAAAAAAACATGTAAAAACGCATATATTTTTTCATAAAAAAACATGTTTATTTTTATAAATCTCTTAAAGGTTAATTACATAAATATACTTCTTATTGCAGATTATTTTACAATATATCCCTCTATTTTCAGAAACAATAAAGTTACATTTTGAATTTGAAGAAATTGTTTTAGTTTCAACCCTCACACAATTTTTGGACCAAAAAAAATGAAAAAACAAAATAAAATACATTTACATGATTTTTGAAAAATATTTTAAGTCATTTAAAAAACGTAAAAAAAAAAAAAAAAAAAAAAAAAAAAAAAAGCAAAAAAAAAATAGAAAACCTCATATTTATTGATATGCTTTTTCATTTCATATTTTTTCACAAATGGGCGATGGTGAAAATTAAAAAGTAACTAAAATTATTATATATGTTTATGTAATTAATTCAATCTCTTATTGATGAAATTTTATTGCTCAAGCTTAATAAGTTTTTCCGAATAATGAATTTTTTGAATTTTTACAAAGCCATCAATGATCCCCTTGGTAAATCATATTGGAAGCATACTTTTTTTTTTTACTTATCTGAATATAATTGCCAAAAGCAGGTGAAGAACAGTGATTAAAACAATGTTACCACATTTTTTTTTTCTTTTTTCCTTTCCTCCAAATAGCTACTACAAACGTATTGTCGCGATGTGAATTAAATAGAAGAAAAGAGAAATGCTAACATCACTCTTTATGTTATTGTTTTTGTCACTCTCTGCATTGAAATAATATTTGACTCTACTAACATGATATATTATTATTTAAATAAAAAATTAGATAGTAAAATCCACGTGTTAAACAATAAATGCGATTAAATAATATTCTCGCAATATGATATTTTGGCAATATTGAGAGTAGTTGAACCGAAATTCAATTAAATAATATTCTTTATGAGCTAGATTACCAATGCCCAATATATTAAAACCCAAATAATATGGAAAATTAGCTTTGCTTGTTGCTTTTATATGCGATTTACAAACTGAAGTTTGTAGCAAAAGAAAGTAAATAAATAAAAGGCAACTACTCTTTTGGCTGATCGGAAAAGTGACTTGCCGGAACTCCACGTAGCAAGGTTTCTTTTTTCAAAATAAATAAATAAATAACAAATATGGAAGAAAATGAGGATTCTATATGAGATTTGGTTTTTCCCATTTTTAGAGAAACTTTTATGTGCAAACCGTTTCTTTATAATGGCAATTAATTTTTACACCGTTCTGAGGATACGGTCAATAAATGTCACAATTTCGTTTGAAAGGAAATAAATCTCACAATCATACATGATATTATATATGCAAGACCAAAGGAGCATTTAATACATATCCGATTATAGCATCACTCCTTACCTTTTGTGGCGAAACTAGCAGATTTTTTCCTGTCAATGGAATAATTACATACGTTGGGTTATTGCACCATCAAATCTATGCATACTGAAATTGGAAAACTTTTTATAAAAAAAAAATGTTGTACTTAAAAAAGAAAAATAGTTTACACTCACCCCTAATAGTATATACATACATATATGTTAGTATATGCATACATATACGTGTGTGTATATATATATATATATATATATTTAAAAAGAATTCATCTAAGCCCTAAACCCATCCCTAGCATTTTTTGAGCCAATATTGTGTTTAATGCTCATTTTTGTTTTCTCCATCTCTAATTTCCTCATGGCGTTGTCTTTCAATCCTGATTCTTATTCCAGTTTAGGCCTCCACAACCAACCTATCAATGGCCAATTCTACTCCGGTGTTGTTTTAGGTGATCATACATTTGAGAATGTCTTCATTGGCTCTCAGCAGCCCAACCGTTTGGGGCTTCATCAATCAAATCAGTTCATATCCCAGCTGATCACTGATGGTAATCCAACTACTCACCAAACAACTTTTTCAAGCCAAGAAGCTCATATCAGCCAACGAAACACTTGTCTTGTACCACAAAGAATCCAATTGGTTGAAACCGTGAACATTGACTATTTTCCTTCACAAAACCAAGCAATATCTTCAGTGGGTCCTCTAGGTGGTCAAGTTTGTGTCACTGAGGTTGTGAGAACTCGAGAGATTGTTAGAACCCAACTCATCAATTCTGCCTCTACTAGGGACCGTTTTTTGGTCCCCAACAATCATGGTTATAATTCATGGATTAACGACCAAGGCCAAACCCATCTTCAAAACCAAGCAAATCATTCAACATTCACTGAAACGCAACCATTTATTGATGCCTATTGTCCAAACACCATTACCCAAAGCTCTAGCCATTGCTTTCACAACACCAAATATGAGGAATTTAATACCCATGTCCAAGAAAGTAATTATATTATTGGGGACAACACAAGTTCTGATCCTCAGCCATTGAGTGTTTATTTCCCTCATGAAACCAAAAGGCCAATTCCTACCGATAATCATGATTTTTATGAATCACGAGACTTTCCATTCACCGAGTATTGTAGTCGTTATAACCGAGTTTTTCATGATCAAGGCGAAAATAACATTTCTGATCAAGACGATGATGATGAAGACAATTTTATGGGCGATGGGCGGACCCACAGCCTACCATACAAGAAATATGGACCGTACACGTGTCCGAGATGCAAGGGGGTATTTACGACATCGCAGACGTTTGCTGCTCACGTGGGGTCCCACTACAAGAGTGAGAGCGCGGAGGAAAGGAGGAAAAGGCACTTGGCAAAGTATGGGAAGAAACACCTACGCCTCGTCAAGTCAAGGAATGAAGTCAACATTGTGCCTTATAAGCCGCATTTCAACGAACCAGTTGCACTAGATCGGCATAATAAGAAGAATGAAGTGAAAACGATCGGAAGTGAAGATCAGGAGAGCAACAAAAGTACCGGGAAAGAAATACTTGTCACTCTTTCTTTTCGAGGAGAGAAATTTGAGGGCTTGTTTGATGTTCCCATCAAGGAGGAGCCCATGGAGATGATAAGTTGAGATGCATAAATGTTTAGAAATTTTTTTTTTTTTTTTTTTAAAGTTTGGTAGTCGATGGATAATACATATGTAATGCCATAGTATTATTTGTTTTGACAAACTTTTAAATTGAATAATAAAGCATCAAAAAGCTTAATTTGTTATCCATTTTGAATTTAGATTGGCTAAGTGACGAAAAACAATCATCAACTTCAATTGATTATAGTTGAGAATAAATCCTTTCTAGTTGTCCTTGACTTTTAAATTCTTGCATTTTATGAGCTACTAGAGCCTTCATTGCCATATGCCCCCATGGCATTGTCTTTCATGCTAATTCCTAACTCCAATAATTATGTTTCAGGTGATCATAAAAGTTTTAAACGACAAATGCTTTAGCAAAAAATTAAAAATAAAAAAATAAACGACAAACGACATTTCCTCTTATGCTCGAATCATGGCAATCTATATATATAGTGCAAATTTAAGGCGACACGTCGTTTATGTCAATATAAAAAGGACAATTGATTTATGATCAACGACATGCAGTTCCTGAAAATAAACAACAGATGCATCATTTTGTTGAACAACAAACGACGTGTATTTGGAAAAACAACATTTTTTTAAGAGGAAAAACAACATCTCGTTTCACCAGTTTCTATTAAAGTAACAACAAATAGTAAAAACGATATAAGTCATTTTTGGATAAGCAATATGTTTCTCCAAAAAAAAAAAAAAAAAAAATTCTTAAATTTCTACTACTTTGGGGCTAACATTGCACTTTTTCAAATTCTATGTTGAGACATGTAAATGCTATACAATACTAAACTAGTAAATATAATATTTTGTACAAAACGTAGCATAATGTATTCTCCTAAAACACTGATCATCCGCTAATATTACTGTCATTTGTTCTTCAAACTTGCTCTTCTCAGCTCAGAACTGAGTTAATTGCTTTAAAATATTAAAAGGTTTTTTTTTCCTTTTTTTTTTTGGAAGTACTAAAGAGGTTCTTAATATGGTTTTATAAATAAAGAAAATGTCACTACCTGAAAAAGTTGTAAAAATTACAGGCATACTATATTACAAAGCTTCCCCAGATATGATGGAGGAAAGCATTTCTGCAGTCCATGTTACTTCAACAAAGAGGATCTCTTATACTTTCTCTTATACTTTCTGCCATACATAACAAATGTGGAAATGCTCATCAGTATTAAATAATGTAGAAGTAAATAATAATAATAATAAAGTTTAAAAAAAAAATGGCTGACCTGAAATTTTGCTGAAGTTTAGAAGAGAACATGAAGCAAGGACCTTGTGCTCAACCTCATGACCATTTTCCAGGCTATCCTTTAGCCGCGAGATGAGAGCCGAGAATGCCGGGAGGTGAAGCTCAGTTTCGGACATTGAAGCTAGTGAAGAGCTTAGCCATGCCACAGTGGTTAAGCAGACTTTGACCAAGTTCAAGTTTTCTGATCCAATACATTTCGAAATTGCGTCTACAAATGACCTCTTTCCATTGCCGAGTAGTGATGTAGACAAGTTCCTCAACCACTTCTCAATGTTTTGTTCATCATCATCCTACATTTTGTAGCATAAATATCGGATTATGTATTTTTTTTTTAAAGCAATGATCAGTCAGAATTTGGATTAGGTTCAGTAAATTCTGAATTAGCATCAATCAAGTTTTTGGGGTAAACTCACACAAAAATTTAATTCCAAGCTATGAAATATAGATTTGATGAGGCCATTCTTTGCGGGGAATTTAGAAAGCTAATTATGATCAAAGAGATGGAATGTACCAACGAAGATGCATCATCAAGTAAAGAAACATTTTCTTGGATTTCGGGCGAATTTTCTGTGGGATCGACATTAAAACCTGCTTGGTTTAGAATCCAACTATATGTTAATAATTTTCCGGAGGAAGAAAAACGGCCTCCCAAGATAAGAAGCGCTCTGCAACAATTTTCTCGGGTTTTCTCATCAGCCAAACTGGCATCAAGTGCCTCTGTGATGGCATCAACTGCCTCTTCTCTGTAAATGCTGTACTTCCGAGGCTCCACCTATAATAAACAGTAGCCAAGAACAGCTTTGACCAATCAGCTTTTTGACAAAACAAAATTTCTGTTAATAACTACAATCATGGAAAGCAAAAATCATAAAGTGCCCTTTATTCATTGTTTAATGTTTTTAACAAACAACTATTACAAAATTTTTCAAATTGCTTTCTTGCTCTTTCTGTTTTAAACAGCCACCAAATCAACACTTTTTTTTTTTTTAACTCAAATGAAGACATTTGATGAACAAAATTAAATAGAATTTCCCATGTGAATGAACCGAAAGATAAAGAGGGATCTTTTGGGATAATACCAGAACATCCAAGTATAACAAAAGCACAGCAACTAGAGGTCTTTGGGGTGGTGGACAACTTTGGAGGTAAACAAGCAGAACATGCAATGTACTCTCTATTCCTTCATTTTCATTCTGCAATCCACTAAGAAATCTCATAACGTCCTTTTTCCTGCAAAATTTGTGAAGCAAAAATTTTGTAAAGTTGTGACATATAGAAAATTTTCTTTTCCCCCTTAAATTCTGCACTATAGAACATAAGATGCAATGAAAAATCATCACAAACCTCTTGAGGCAAATAAGTTCAATCAACAAGGCCACCACATTTGCTCTGGCCTTAACCTGCTTGCTATGAAGCATCTCAAGCACGCACTTGCTGTCAATATCTCTTGCTATCCGATTCCTGACACTCGAAACCGCTTCGATGCAAGACACCACTAGGGCCGCGACACGTGTCTTCTCCTGGAGATCTCCACACTCAAATCTTTGAAGAAGGAAGTGCAAGCCTCCAAGGGATATAAGCAGTTTTGCATTGGTGATACTTTCCTCTTTGGTGAAAGCAGTGCTGGTGAGAAGAAGCTGCTCTAAGACCAAAGTGGTTGTCTCGCTTTCGTCTCTTAACTGCTCCAAGAGATGTCTACAATGTTGTGATTTCCATGTATCAACCAAACGCTTTAAGACTAAGTTTGTGAAAGGGACTAGTTTGCATTCCAAGGCTTTTCCTGTTACTGGGCATGCTCGGTTTCCTTGGTCAAACCAGGCCTTGATGGCTTCACGTTCAAATGTTTGGCCGGTTTCTAAAGTCACAGGATCTTCAAATAATTGTCCTGTTAGAGGGCAAATGAAGTCCTGGGGAATGATTGAGAAAGAGGGTCTTTCTTCAAAGTAGACCCCATGCAGTTCTGTTCCAAATTCCAATAAATAAATAAATAAATAATTGAACAGAAAATAGGGTGAATTCTACATAAAATTTTTTGAAGAACAAAATTAGATTATGACAAGAACCAACAATGTATGGTAAAGGAAAATATGGTTCATTCCCATGAAATAAATCCCCTTACTCACATTATAGTAGGTCCCACAAGGTTGAGTCTTACTTAACAACCTAATAGGACCCACTTCTACAAGTAGCGGGGATTTAACCCCCATAAGACGAATAGGAGTGCTCATACTGTAAAACATACGCAATTTAGTTGTCATGTACTATGCATATGTCCTGGGGCCAAATTTTGTCTTTCCAAAAAAAAAAAATTTTAAATGGTTTCTATAAAAATGACCAAGCCTTTCTTTTAACTTAAAGGAGAATTAAAAGTCATTTTCTCAAACAAAAGAAGTTGACCAACCTTCTGAAGCCGACCCTACTTTAGTTAGCTGCATTCAGAAAAATTAAAAAGAAAAAACCAAAAAAAAAAAAAGTCAGTTATCATAATGATGACCAAGTGAACCACTTTTACGAAGTAAATTAAGAAAATAGGCAAGAATTCAGTACATGTACTAAAGCTTCACTGTCTGGTTGTTGCAGTTCAAAAAGAGACTTTGCTAGCCTTTTGAGGGTAAGCTCATTCTCTTTTGTATGTTGTGGTGGTGAACGTATCATTTGGCTGTTTTCTGTTGTTTCTTGACAAGTCACTGGGTTTACAAACTTCTCACTGAAATCTCTTCCTGTTGAAACCCTTTGTCCAGGAAAGCTCCATTTTTCCTCTGATGTCACTGAGAGTCCATTCTCCTACATAAAATTCACGTAACAGGTGAGTTGAAGCTAAAAGTACTAAGTTTACTAACTCTTTACCGACATTTTGATACCAATTCACGTAATAGGTGAGTTGTCATATTTTTACTGATAGATAGATACAACTCTTAAATAACATTTGATGTGACAACTTTAAAATACCTACTAATAAAAGAACTGCAATTCACATGAAAAATTGGTACCCTTGAATTAATCTTACTAAATTGCATTACTGTCACTTACAGGAGAAACTTCATCTTCTGGTGCGTTCTTGGTGAAATCTTCTTCCTCATGTCCATTAGTTTCTTTAACTGTCTCTTTGACAACAGCAGAACCATCAGAACTTCTTATACGATTATCAGAATTCTCTGTGTCCCTTCCATCTGCAGATCCAGGCTTACTTGACTGGCTAAAAAGAGCATTATAGAATTTCTTACTCACCATCATTGGTTGGGGTGAAAATGGATCAACAGGACTACTAGATTGCTCAGAAGAATGACCATGAGAACTACTATTTCCCTTTTGAATTTCCCGAATCGATATCGACGGAACATGGATGGAAGGAACAGGAGTAGTTTCAACTCCTTCTGTGAGCCAATCCTTGTAGTAAACTGCAAATTGGTAAGTCCCAGAATCCACTATTTCATTATACACCTTCTCAAGAAGTTGAAGTTTCCTTGGCCTTCCCGGCGAGTCTGCTAAAGAATTTGCCTCTTGATTGTACCACACTTTCAAGTGTGAAAGATGTGGAAAAAATAGATAATCCCACAACTCAGGCAACAGTTTTTCACGAGCCTGATTCGGCGAGTCACAGAAAACCTGCAAAAGATGCTTCGCCGCAACTCGATCTTTCCTCTGCAGCTTGTAGACCACACTTAAGTAGAGATGAGCACAAGCTGACAACTTGTAATCCCCAGAAGTGAATCCATCTTTTAAGTCACTTGAATTTAGCCCCACAATGACACGAAGTTGTAACACGGCTTTCCTCAAATCCTTTGTGCTTGTAGCTTCCTCAACCGCCTTTTCTATCGCTTCGATCGCTTCCTCAAGCTTGGCTATGATTTTTCCCACATTGTTTCCCTCTTCTACTTGAACAAAATTAAGGGAAGAAAAGCAATTATCCCTGAGTGTCGATCTGAACTCCTTGTCTCCAAGAAACCGTTTGATGTATCCACTTAGGATCGAAACCATTGCTTGGATTGCAACCTCATCAAGTGCAGGCTCAGAAACTGGATTGACAACTGTTGGTTTCTCATTGTCATACTTCTTGACTTGAGTTTCCTCAAAGCTTTTGCCATTTGATGAGGCTTTATGATCAGAAGTTTCATGTTTCTGTTTCATGCTTCTCATGTTTTTATCGCTAAAACTCCGACGACCAAGCACATGTTTCTTAGAACGTCCATGAATCTTGTCCTTAATTTCCATTTCCTTAATAACCCTGTTAGAATACTTCTCTTCATTTGAATATATGTCCTTAACTCTCTCATTTTCTTCATCTCCAGCCTCAACTATCTCAAACACTTGTTCTGTTTCATGCTTATCTCTTCCTTCTTTCTTTGGCCCAGTAACAATCTTCTCCCTTTTAACAAGATTGTCTCTTGGTCTGGCACTACCAGAAATGGTATCATACATAGGTGATTCGCCTCGAGTACTATGTCGAGACACGTCGGATCTTGTTCTCTCTGTCCGGATTCTGTCCCTTGGCATGAATTCTCTCTTGAATCTGTCGGGGAAAGGGAAAGGTGGCAGATTTGGTGACTCTGATTTGAAGGAAGTTCTTGACCTGGCCAATGATTTTTTTCCTCTGAATCCATCCTCTGCTAGAAGATCCTCCAAAGAGGATGCCATTGATGATTCCAAAATCTTTATTTATACCAAATCCTATGTCAAAGAAGAAAAGGCAAACACAAGAGTTAGATGACTTAAGACTAAAATTCGTACTTTGGATAAAAAGACTTTGCAATGTCAATACTTATCAACGGATTACTACAATTTGAAAGAAAAACTCGTATTAGAAAAAGGGAGTCATAACCTTCAAAAGCAGACTCCTAAAACTCAGAACCACTACAAATATAACTAATCAATCTTAACCAACTTCTTACACTACTTTACACAGAACATGCATAAAACATGGAAACAGATTATGAATAACTAATCGCAAGTTACTTAAGTTAGGACCTGCAAAATTTTTCTCTCAAATACACCTTTGTGCGCCAAAACTTTATGGGGGAAAATGAGGACCTAATCGACGAAATAGGAGGCCTAAAACTCAATGAAAAACTAAACAAAAGGCACTTCAGTTATGTGACAAAACAGATCATGCATACAAGTGAAAAACTGGCTTTCGTACCTTTCGTGCTCTCTTTTTCTTGAAGCTCACATGACATGACTAAGAAATAAACTTTACCTGAAATCCAGTTGCTGAGGAGCCAAAAAGGATACAGTTTCCTTCAGGCCTACAAGTGAAAAACTGGCTTTGCACAGCTTGTGATAATAATAATAATAATAATAATAATAATTCAAGATGTTCCTCGATTATTTGTGAGTCCTCGACTAAGAACGCTGCAAGGGAATCTTAGGAGAGAACAAAAAAGGAATGATGAAGATGCTGATTAAAGAAAAACAATGAGGTGGAGTTGTCTATAAAGGACTGCAAGTTATGGAAGAAGACAAACAGTAGATAAAAGGGAATGATCAAGAAATGTGGATAGTGCTAACATTAGGCAACAAGGCAAAAGCTTTGGAGTTGAAGTGTGACAAATGAAAGGTGACAAATGAAAGACAAAAAGACTTGTGTTTATAAATAAAATATAAGATTTATGTTTCTACGACTCTTTCAATAAGGCATTTTGCTGTAGGCTCAGTTTATATATATATATATATATTTGTTTCATTCAAACACTCAAAACTGCTATAAAAACTGCCGTCCTTTCAGGTTCAATCCCTCTTCCTTGCCCTTGGCCAGTTGATTATTTCCCTTCTTTTTGTTTATTTCTTTAGTACTATTGGTGGTGCTGGTTTACTTCTTTGGGACATAATAAAAAAAAAAATTTAGGAGAATATTCTAATGGGAAAAAAATAATAATTTAATAATAGAAAAATGTTTGAGGCGCCACAAGTGCTAAAAACTATCACTAATAAAATGTGGATCCTATTTGCACGTATAGGTGGAATTCACTTTCTATTAGTGGGTGTCACTCAACACCTTTATGGCATATTTACTTACCATAATTGAAGAATGAGAGTGGAGAATGGGAGTCAATCACATGTTTACTTGCTCTTTTTTATCCTGGAATGGAAATGAGATTGGTGGGTTCCACTCAAATTTGGGATTGAGGAATGAGATTGGCACTCTCATGCCCCCCCTTGGGATTGAGACTCTCATTCCTAATATTAATTTACTATCATACCCTTATTTTACTTATAAATACACAATTCAAAATAAAATTCAAAAAATAATAAATGCAACATATATTTATTATTTTAGTACCCAATTATTACACTAAATATTTTAATTATGATTAATTTTAATATAATAAGTACACAATATATTTTTTAAATTGGAAATATCAAATTGATTTTTAAAGGTATATTAGTATTTTTACACTTTGTTATTCTGATTCTGGGTGTAAGTAAATGTATGAATGAGATTTATAATGACTCCGATTCTGAATCCTATCACTAAGTAAAGAGCTTATTCTGACTCTGATTTCTCACTCTGAATCCTACCAACTCCAATTCATGCTCATTCTAATTACGTGTAGGTAAACACGCTATTAGTGTCTCAATAAAGCACCCCTAAAACTCCACTATTCACATAAGGCAGCCCCTTAAGTGGGTAGATGAGACTCATTATTTTGTGAGTACGGGGTTTTATCTTATTTTCGTCTCAATAACATTGTTCTTATTGAATATAACACAAATTGTTAGGATAAGAGTGGAGAATCCTTCTTAGAGTTGATAAAAATTGAGAAGAGAACCTTATCTTTTTTTAAATGCGATAGACCCATATCAAAACCATTGCAACAAATAAAACGTAAAAAAACAAATATAGTACCCCAAACCATGCTTGTACTGTACTCTTCAAATGTCAATGGGCTCGTTCTTTTAGAATAAAACTCAAAAAAAATTTGAACTCAAGTTACAACTTTATTCAAGTTCATGTTCGTTTATAAAATTTGAGTTTGAACTTGAGTTTTAACTCGAATTTTAACTTGAGTTTAGGGCTAAAATATGAGTTCAAGTTCCCCCTCCAACTCAAGTTAATGAATAATATTTTTTCTATTCTTAAAAATGCTATAACTTTTTCGTTTTAATTCCGATTGAGATGATTTTTTTTCTATGTATTCACAGCGAAGAGATGAATAAAACTCCACCCATATACCCTATTAAAATTTTCCATCACCATTGAGTTTTTATTAAAATACTATCTAAATACAAATTTAAGTTTTGACCCACCCAAACACAAAGTCAAATAAATTATCAATTCAAACCATAACTCAAATGTGCACATTTAAACACAAACTCAAGTTATAACTTCTACTCAAATTATAATTTAAATTTAACTTAAAATCTACACTCAAATCACCGTAATTAAAAAATTACAACCGAATAAGCCCAACATGACCTGAGAAAGAGTAATAACTTGCACCGGGCTAGCCGAAAGGGAAAGGAAAGGGAGACCCAAAAAAAAAAAAAAAAAAGGCCACGTCTTGGTTTTTAATGTAGCATAACACGCAACTATACTGTAATTTGGTAAGGTGGGATTATTTGTTAAGATTTTAATTATTTTGATTGATTTTTAATTATGTCATGATTTGTATATTAATTGTCATTAGGTGTCAAAGAAGGAAGTTTAGGTAACTTACCTGATTGGGGAAAATTATCACTTATTGACATCTCGTATTTTTTAGAACCATTCTTATTTATACTCTTGTACAAGCTCATTGTAAATCATCAGAAAATAATTAAATGAATGAAATTCTTGATCCGTGGGCGTAAGTAAATTGTCGAACCACGTAAAATTTCTTTATTTTCCTTTTCTTCAATTTTGTTCGTTCTTTTCTAGATTATTGACCCCAAAGCAAAAACAGTTAATTCTCTAGGCACCCCTTAAATTCAGATTTTATTATTTATTTATTCTTTTTATTTTTATTTATTTTTTGAGTTATTTCATGACTTTTGGTGTTGATAAGAGATGGGGTAGGCTGTTGTTGAGATCTTATTTGTTTATAGGTGACTTGAGAGGTGCTATAATCACTTGCATGAAAAAGGATTGGTGCTTTTGGAAAGAGAGCTAAAGATGATAATCTGGACTTTTGTCCTCTATCTCACCTACAAAGGCTCCTCATGACTAAATAGCCAGACATCCTTTTTTTTTTTTAAATATAAAATGAGGGATAAAAGTGGGATTCAATTACATTGTTAACAAACAATTTTCTCTTATGAAATCTTATAGAGAACTATAGGGTTCGTTTAGTTCGTTGATTCAAATTTTTAATTTGAGTTGAGATGTGACGTTATATGAGAGTTTTTTACTGTAGTAAAAAAGTTAGATGTGACTGTTTCTGATAATTTTTTACTATAGCTAAAATTGAATTAGCGAAATGAAGAAGACAGTAATTTCCAATATTATGGCCAAGTATTATCAAAAGAGGGAGTGATTTGATAACTATGTGAATATTTAGGTGTGTTTTTACTGATGACACTTTTTTTTGGTGGCGTTTAGTTCATGGATTCAAATAATATGATTATAACTATTTTTGATTTACGTGTATTTTTTGTGAGAGAAATACTGTATCGAACCATGAACCATGATTCGAATTAGAGAACGAATCTAGGTACCAAACGGACTCAAGGAAGCTGAAACACATGTCACGTTAAGCAAGAAAGGTGCGTGTGTACGTGCAATGTCCACATCAGGCATTGCGTATTTTTCTTTATAAGATAAGAGATACGTCTTCTTTTCATTTTATTCTCTCTCTCTCTCTCTCGGCTTTGTGGAAGGAAGAATGATCGGGCGTAGATTCCTTGGAGACGAATACAAATAAAGCGCCAAAGCGAACAAGCCAAAGAGGAGCTAAGACAAGGCCCAGCCCCTGGTTGTGTAATTGGTGACTTGTCGAAATCACACTTTCAGGACTAATCAGCCCAATTAATTGGCTTGTCACGGACCACCTACAATTTAATCTAAAAAGAAAGAGAGAGAAAAATATAAAATTTATCTTTAAAAGTGTAAGAGTAAATTATTATCTCGTACTCTTAATAATACTCTTTTATTAATGTAATTATTTGACTAAAAAAATTATGAATCAAGAGTAAAAATAAAAATCCTGACCATACACTTTCAAAGGGTATTTATCAAAATTACCTAAAAAGAGACAACTTCTTAAAGTGTATGTTAATAAGAGGGTATTAATTAAGAGTAAAATAAAAAATTCAGACTCATGTATTTTAAGATAAATTCAACAAATTTCTCTTTTAATCTAAAATCTAATAACAGGAAAGTTAGACATATAGCGTATTCCTACTAATCACGCTGAAATACAACAATAAATTCAGAGACAAATGCCTCAAGTCTGACGGCAATACGGTATGGCAAGTGCAACAATATTTGTTTAGGTTTGTAACTTTTTGATGTAATATGATAACACTGGAACAAGTGTAATGTAACATGAGGCAAGACTTATATTTTGTCTAGTGTTCCGTGACGTACAGACAATGGTATATTGAAATAGTCTACCCTGTTTATTTCGCCGATTCGAGTTTAGAATTCGAGTTTTGCTACAGTAAAAAGCTATCATAAACAGTCACGTCTAACTTTTTTACTACAGTAAAAAACTCTCACACAGAATCACATCTCAACTCGAATTACAAACTCAAATCAGCGAAGTAAACGGATCCGAGTGTTAAGTCTTAGGTTGGAAGAATAACATGATAACACGTAAATGAGTGTAATGTAACATGCATAAGACATATTTTATTAAGAAGTTGTTTGGAATATGGGTTCCAACTCATAATTTGTTATAGTGTTTTTTTTTTTAAATTAAATTTAAAAAGCTCCGTCAACAAGTTATCTTACAAAATTTGAATTCTTATTTAAACTACATGGTTTAAGGCTTTAAGCTCATTTTCGAATGAGCCATAAGTGTTATACAAATGTACAAACCATATTTTATTGACGGGAAAAAAATGTTATATTTACTAGACTAATGCGGGCGTGAACTGAATTATATAAAATAAAAAGTTAACTCTGTCGACATACAATTGTAATATTATTATGAAGTGATTAAGATAGTCTACTAGTGTTAGGTGAGAATAATGTAATATCAATAGCTCGTTTATTTTGTGGGTTCAAATTAAAAATTTGAATTGAAAACTTATATGAGAGAAATGTTATAGTAAAAAACGTTAAGTTTAAATGTTTATGAGAAAAAAATATTATAGTAAAAAATTTAAACTGTGATTTAAATTGTGAAACAAACAAAGCGATATCTATGTGAACAAAATAGTCTCACTCTACTACGGTGAAAAAAAATTAAAAAAATGTTATAGTAGAAAGTTTGGGGCTAAACTCGGGTTCAAGTTTTCCTTTCAATTCGAGTTCATAAACTCAAACTCAAGTTAATGGACAATATTTTTTATATTCTTAAAAATGTCATAACTTTTTTGTTTTAATTATGATTGAGATGATTTTTTCTATGCATTCACAACGAAAAGACGAATAAAACCTCACCCATAGTAATTAAAAATTTTCATCACCATTGAGTTTTTATTAAAATACTATCTAAATAAAAATTTAAGTTTTGACCCACCTAAACACAAGCTCAAAAGATTCTCAATTAAAATCATAACTCAAATGTGCATGTCTAAACACAAACTCAAGTTACAACTTCAACTCAAATTATAACTTAAACTTAACTCAAGATCATCACTCAAATTATCCTAACTAAAAAATGTAAAAGAACAACCCTTTTATTTCATCTGCAGGTATTTGAATTACTGTGCGTCTATGTGCACATAAATCATAATCATCATTTTTTCCAATTAATCACAATAATTATGACATCGTTCTATAATTAAAAACTTATAAAAAATGTCATATATAATTTTTTTATTATTAAATAAAAACTCTTAAAAAATATCTTAATTTAAATTAAGTTTATATTTATAGTAAAGATCTGTGTCATAATTCATATCATAATTCATAATATAATATTTTTTTTCATAAAAAATATACATAAATTAAAAATATTTTTAAATCATAATTTTAAATCTATGAACTAAAGAGACGTTTAATAAAAAGATTCATACCATGATTTGAATAATGATTTATAATTAATTATAGTAATTTTTCTCATAAAAAATACACATAAATAAAAAATAATTCTAATATTATGATTATAATTTATGAACCAAACATCTCTTAAGACCTCGTTCATTTTGTTAATTCGAGTTTAGAATTTGAGTTGAGATATGATTTTATGTAAGAGTTTTTTACTGTAGTAAAAAAATTAAATGTGACTGTTTATGAAAACTTTTTACTGTAATAAAATTTAAATTTTAAATTTGAATAACGAAATGAATGAGGCCTAATTTCTTTTAAAAATTCGAATATGCGAACTTACTGCGGAAAGTGGAGTCCTCGCTCGTCCATGTTCCCATGCCTTGTCAGTCCAAAACCCGGGTCAGTGGGTCCCCCCCCAAAAGCGAAAAAAAGTTATCGGCCTGAGGCAAAGCAAACCGACCATCATCTTCCCTCCTAAGTTTGTATCCCATGATAATTACTTACCTCCTTAAATGACTAAATTGACCGTCTATATTAACGCAATCCCTAAATTGCCCTCACCTCTTCTCGGCCGTTGATAATGAATATTTTACCCTCACTGGTGTTTTGGTGAGCGTCAGTACCAACTGGTATTCGACTTTAACAAAAGGGTAGAAATGTCCGTTCGTAATTCATAAACGGCTACCTTTTCATCCGGTTTTAAGGCTTGGATCTTTGCGAATCACTTTTTTGAATTTCGAGTCACTTTCCCAATATGCCTTTGCTTTTCCATTTTATTACGAAATAAACACTGTAAGTAGTTACAAGCGGGAAGGAGTTAATTTACAAAAGTACCCCCGCCAACATCCGACATTTTTCTGACACCGATCTTTAATCGAATATAATGTTAGGTCAGAATGGTCATCTGGTCACTCCCACAATTAATTATTCTCACAGTGGCAGTACTGTGATTTTTGAGAAAAGCAAGCCTCTTGTTGAACCGAAGTTCAAGAATCTGGTCCCACCAGTCTTTTCTGGGTCCTTTTGGGCAAAATGGTATGCCACTCAAGAAGCGCCATCTATCCAAGCAGATTAGTAGCTTAAACTTATAACTTTCACAAAGCTCTTCCTTTGCACCTAAGTAGCTTAAAGTTGCAGCAGTGTTTTTTTCTGCTGCAGACGCCCATTTGTCTTTGCCTTCTCTCTCTCTCTCTCTCTCCCTTCCTCATCTCTCTATCTCTCTGTTCTGCTCTGCTCTGCACTTTCTCTCTCCTAGGGTTTCTGTTCGTCGGAGCAGTGGAAGCTGCTATTACTACCTCCCGGAGAAAAGCTCTCTTCTCGCTGCTCGATGCCTGATTCTAAGCCTTTCAGGTTCTCCTAAATCAGCTGGTGATCACTCTCTCTCTCTCTCTCCTCTTCGTTTGTTCCTTTGGCTCTGTGCCTGGTACATCGCTAGGGTTTATCTTCTCCTTTGTTTGGAAATCTTGCTTTTTTTATTTTTATTTTCTTGAACCATTTTTTCCTCTTTTATTTGGTGTTAAGGGCGAAGAAGTGGTTTTGGCTCCTCTGAAGTTTTGATCGGAGCTTAAGAGGGAAAAATGTCGTCGAGAGGGAGGTCCGATCAGTCACCGCAGCCGCAGAGGCGGATCCAGCGGACGCAAACCGCCGGGAACCTTGGGGAATCCATCTTCGACAGTGAGGTCGTGCCGTCGTCGCTCGTCGAGATTGCGCCGATTCTCCGTGTTGCCAATGAGGTCGAGTCGAGCAACCCCAGGGTCGCTTATCTCTGTAAGTGCTTGCTTCAGATTTTTGCTAAAAATGTATCTTTGGATTCAAGTTAGAAAATAGAAATGCATCACTAGATACGTGGAAATGTGGATATTTGATATTTTTATTTTCCATTTTTGGTTTCCGTTTGAATTAAGGACGGCATTTCTGGATATTAATATAATATCCTACTGGCAATGTACCTCTTTGTTTACGTAGACGGTCTTGTTTCTACTTATTACGCTTACATTGCCACAGTTAAGATTCTAAAAAAAAAGCGTCTGATATGTAAAAGCAATACCTTCTGTTTTTGCTCCAATGCACTGTATTAAGTTTATGATTTGTGTCTAGGAGTGGCGCAAAAAACTTTAATTGCATGATTTCTGAATTTAATCATTTTTTAAAGGTGCGAAGTTTGGCCTTCAATGGATAAACTGCGCGCTGATACAAAATACAGTAAATAATTTGTTTATTCTGATTAGTCTTCGTTATAGGTTACTGTTTATGGGATTCATTTATCTTGAGGTGTGGATTTTCCTCTTAATCTTTTGTATGTTTGATCTGCATTTTGTGATTTTATGTATAATAGGTGATGAATCTATTTCTTTTTCACTTTGTGGGTATCATAAAGAAGTTAAATGCTCCCTGGTGTCTACTTTATGGCGCTTCAATTCGTCTATCTTTTGATATTCCTTTTTCAGCGTACTTCATCCTTCTGTTTCTTGTTTCCATTTTGTGCTGGTCTTTCACTTGTTACTTTCTCTGATAGAAAAGTTTGTCCTTCCCTTGTTATATCCATTTCATTAATTCATTCCCAATAATGAGAAATTCAATGCATGCATGGATATCTGTTGTAGGTCGATTTTATGCCTTTGAGAAAGCTCACAGATTGGATCCTACATCAAGTGGGCGTGGTGTACGGCAATTTAAAACTGCCCTCCTTCAACGTCTTGAAAGGGTAAATTTTCTATGTTGATGGATGTCCTATACAATATGTAGTGGTGCTCCAAAACCACCTTGGTAGTTCATGCTGTAGCATTGGCTGATCTGACTAAATGACAGGAAAATGATCCGACCCTAATGGGTAGGGTGAAAAAAAGTGATGCACGTGAAATGCAGGTTTTTTATCAGCACTACTACAAAAAATATATCCAAGCTTTGCAAAATGCTGCAGATAAAGCTGACCGGTAGGTCTTGTTTTAGGTGAATGGTGTTGGGTGAGTTGCTTCAGTTTTTGCGTTGCTTGATGATCCATTTCCTATTGTTCTGCAGTGCACAGCTTACCAAGGCTTACCAGACTGCTAATGTTCTCTTTGAAGTCTTAAAGGCTGTTAATATGACTCAATCTATGGAAGTTGATCGTGAGGTGAGGCTATATGACAGATATAGACCAGAGATCTCTAATGCTGTCATCATCTGTTTTAGCTTTAATATGGCTCTATCATTTTAAGGACTTCTTTTGGATGCCATATGGCCCATATGTAACTCCTTATGGTTGATGAATCTAGATTTTGGAAGCCCAAGATAAAGTTGCAGAGAAGACGCAGATTTTGGTACCCTACAATATTCTTCCTTTAGATCCTGATAGTGCAAACCAGGCAATTATGAAATATCCAGAGGTATGATTTTATTAGTCATTTTAGCTTTGGCATTGTGTCCTTGTTATGATTTTACATGAATCCGTATCTTAATTGTAGATTCAAGCTGCAGTTGTTGCTCTTCGTAACACCAGGGGTCTTCCCTGGACCAAGGAATATAATAAGAGAAAAGAGGAAGACATTCTGGATTGGCTTCAGGCAATGTTTGGGTTTCAGGTAATTAATTATGCAAAACTTAAACCTTCTTTTACATTGCAATACCTAAAGTTTCATTGGCTGTATTATAAACAATCATTTGTTTGGTATTTTCATATTCATTGGCTACTTTAATCAATTTGCAGAAGGATAATGTTGCAAACCAAAGAGAGCACCTGATTTTATTACTTGCAAATGTGCACATACGGCAGTTTCCAAAGCCTGATCAGCAACCCAAGGTTAGTGTAGTTAATGTAATACTTACTAACTGAATGAACTTCTCAAATGATTAGTACTTTACTCTCTTCTCATTTGAAAATGGTGGAAGTAAGAACATGTCCCTGATAGGACAGCTCAGTAGTTACGTCATTGTTTTTGTAATCTAAAGGTCCTGGGTTAAAGTGTTGTCTAGAAATTTTAGAAGAAAGAACAAACAAATGGCTATTTAATAATGTATAAGCAGCTGAGTTTTTTATTTGCTTTTTTGGCGTGTACGTTCATGTTGTTAGTTGGATGATCGTGCTTTGACGGAAGTGATGAAGAAGCTTTTCAAGAACTATAAAAAATGGTGCAAGTACTTGGGTCGGAAAAGTAGCCTTTGGTGAGTTCCTTTTTCTTTAAGTTTTTAGTGAGATTTTCTTGCTATATATATTTAAGTGAATTAGATGCTGAGATACATTCTCGAACGCATACAAATACAGTCTCGAACGCATACAATATGTTACTTTTTCTATTTGTAATAATCTAATCTGCGAGGTCATCGCTCTGATATATCTTTGTGAGTTTATAGAGCGGTCTTCTGCTTACTTTTGTACATCCCAAGTTATTATTCTGTAAAAAGAAGTCCAATGTCTAATTTGATGTTTATGAATGCTTTTACATGTTTTGTGTGTCTAACTGCAGGCTACCAACCATACAGCAGGAAGTTCAACAGCGCAAACTTCTATACATGGGCCTGTATCTTTTAATATGGGGAGAGGCTGCAAATTTAAGATTCATGCCTGAATGCCTTTGTTATATATATCATCATGTAAGTTGCTTGAGATATCACCGTTCATTAATACTTAATAATATGTTGTCTGTAGCAGCTCCTATGATGGTGCTTTTTCAAGTTAGTGCATCGTAGATTTGATTCTAACTTCCTCTGTTATGTTTTAGATGGCATTTGAATTGTATGGTATGCTAGCCGGGAATGTCAGTCCCATGACAGGTGAAAATGTGAAGCCAGCCTATGGAGGTGAAGAGGAGGCTTTCTTGAAAAAAGTTGTTACTCCCATCTATGAAGTGATTGCAAAGGTTCTTTATGCACCTTCTTTGTCATGTCTTTTTCTGAAGGTTAAATGTATTTGAAATTTTGGACATAGGATGATCTTTTTATGAGTTATAAATCTTCTGGTTGCTTGCCTTGACAGGAAGCTGAAAGAAGTAAAAAAGGAAGATCAAAACATTCACAATGGAGGAATTACGATGATTTAAACGAATATTTCTGGTATTATATTTGGTTGTTTTGGATTTTTCTTAGTTGGGTATGAAGCCGTGATTAATTCCTTTCAATGGATTATAGGTCAGTTGATTGTTTCCGGTTAGGTTGGCCAATGCGTGCAGATGCTGATTTCTTTTGCTTGCCCCTCGAACAACTTCGTCGTGAAAGAAGTGGGGTAAGCCATGCTTTTCATTTTTCCGTCTCTTTTACATACAATGAGAATAAAAGAAGAATAGTTAGACCAAGAAATGGATCTCTCACGTGCACTGGTGCTTTAAGATGGGAATAGGTGATAAAATTTGACATTAAGTTCTCTCTTGATTTGACTGCGTCTTTATTGAGATTCGAATGTAATGAGGTACTTATGATGGAAAGTACTATAATATAGTATTGTGACCACGTCTTTGATGATGCCTTAGTGAGTATAATAAGCCCATAAATGATGGAAAGTAAAAGATTTCCTATTTGTTCACATATTTCATTTGTTTCTTGGTGGTGTTTTTGCATGTTTGTTGCTTCTTCTTTCTTTTTCTTTTCTTTTCTTTTCTTTTTTTTTTTTTTTTTTTTTTTTTTTTTTTACTTACTAGATCAAGCTTGTAAGCACTCAATTCTTTTTTTTGTCATGTTCATCTGAAAGATGTAATCTTGGGTTAATAGTCCCTGTTCAAAACGAAAGATATAATTCACTTAATGGAGCCATAATTTCTGGTTATTGTCTGTAGGATGGAAAGCCACTTAGCAGAGATCGTTGGGTCGGAAAAGCTAACTTTGTTGAGATACGGTCATTTTGGCATGTTTTTAGAAGCTTTGATCGTTTGTGGGGTTTTTTTATTCTATGTTTACAGGTATTTAACTTCCACCTAATGTGATCGTGTTTTCTCGTCTCTAACTTTATGACTTGGCGCTGAATGTGGGTGTTTTCTTGAAGGCCATGATTATCATCGCTTGGAATGGTTCTGGGACACCTGGTTCTATCTTCACTGACGATGTTTTCAAGAAAGTATTGAGTGTGTTCATAACTGCTGCAATATTGAAGCTTGGGCAAGGTAAGTAAAGTTTAATCTCATGCGCATGTATTTTATATTTTCCATTCTTCTGCATATGGATTTTAAGTGCATGCTTTTTTATTTCTTTATGCATTTTGCTCGAGTAATATTGTAGCAGTTAGGGTTTTTAATCATTTCATTGGATTTTGTGGAATTTTAAATTTATTTTGTATTCTTCCTTTCGGCTGGGGAGTATTTATGGCGAGTTGGAAAACTATATTAAATGGCCATGTATATTTTACCAAGTGCTAGTAATTATTTGATGGTTTATTTTGACTTCTGCAGCTGTCCTTGATGTAATTCTTAGTTGGAAAGCCCAATGGAGTATGTCATTTCATGTGAAATTACGATACATTTTGAAGGTTGTTTCAGCTGCTGCTTGGGTGATAATCCTACCGGTTACTTATGCTTATTCTTGGAAGAATCCTCCTGGATTTGCTCATATTATCAAAGGCTGGTTTGGGAACAGCTCCAATTCGCCTTCCTTGTTTATTCTGGCTGTTGTCATCTACTTGTCTCCAAATATGGTGGCTGCAGTGTTGTTTCTTTTTCCATTCATTCGTCGTTTCCTTGAGAGATCGAACTATAGGATCGTAATGCTAATGATGTGGTGGTCACAGGTTAGCAAAGTTTTGTTAGTTGTGCATTGTTTTGGTGTCGTGATCTTGCCGTTCAATTTTTTGATTTCTGGCCATTTGCAGCCTCGCCTTTACGTCGGCAGGGGAATGCATGAGAGTACAATGTCCCTTTTTAAGTAAGATTCCGTCGTTCAATTGATTGCTGGATTGCTTCTTTAGATATTGTCATTATGCTTCAATCTGATGTCTGCTATTTCTTTGATTTAAACTTCTAGGTATACTATGTTTTGGGTTCTCCTTTTAATCACGAAGTTGGCTTTCAGCTACTATATTGAGGTATTTTTTCCACATTCTATTTAGCCTGGAAACTTTTAGTTGTTAATCCTCCTTCTTTCAATGAACAAATTGATATAGTCGTAGACGATAGTGTCCCCTTGGGTATTTTTAATCTGTATTAACATCTCTTGAGGTTCATTGTGTTTGATCTCAATTCTTGGTTTGCGCCACTGCACATTATTTTTTATAACCTTCCATTCTTGTTGCAGATAAAGCCTCTAATCGGTCCAACTAAAGCAATCATGGAAGCACATGTTACGACTTTTCAATGGCATGAGTTCTTTCCTCGTGGTACATAACATATGGCACATATTCATATTTATGTTTTGTATGTATGTTTTATTTTCTCATCAATAATTCACTTATTGCTCTCTTTGTGCAGCAAAAAACAATATTGGTGTTGTAATTGCACTTTGGGCTCCGATTATTCTTGTATGGACTTTGTCAGCTTACGTTATAACCAATGTTTCTCGTTATATTTGGCAGACCTTAATGAATATTCTAATAAAGCAACGTTTTGTAGGTCTATTTTATGGATACCCAGATTTGGTATGCAATATTCTCCACATTATTTGGGGGTATCTATGGAGCATTTCGACGCCTCGGAGAGGTAGAGTTTCTCTCATTCTTTAATTGGATATATATTTGCCTTTTCCAATTTGGAAATCTAAAGGATAAATGAATGAATGACCTTTTAGAATATAAAACTATTGTTGGCCCACCTCCTAACAACTTAAGCTTTTGGAGGAATTGGTAAACTAAAATAGTAGCATTATACTTTTCAAAATTGTCATCACATGTTGGGTCTTTAATATGTTTCGAGCTTGTAATTAAGTATTCATGTGTTGGGCCTTCTAATTAACATTTATTGACACGACTTAACAGCTTAAGCCTTTGAGAGAATTTGTGTATTAGGACTTGTCTTGATGAGTTATGAAATCATGTGACTTATTGTTGCTTCAAAATTTGTACCAGATTCGAACATTGGGAATGTTAAGATCTCGGTTCGAGTCTCTTCCAGGTGCGTTTAATTCTCGTTTGGTTCCTGAGGAAAAGAATGAGCCAAAGAAGAAAGGGCTGAGGGCAACCTTCTCTCGTAACTTTGACGAGGTTGGTTTTACATACTGTACCTTTTGAGTTTTGGGATTTTTGTCTAGTGCATTTGCTATGATTAAAAATAATAAGACCATTGTTATGAGTTATGTATATATTTTTTATATTGAAGATCCCATCCAACAAAGAGAAGGGAGCAGCAAGGTTTGCTCAGCTATGGAACAAAATCATCAGTAGTTTTAGAGAAGAAGATCTCATAAGCATTAGGTAATCTAAAAAGATTATATTCTGCATGCTGTAATCTTCATTCTAAGTGGTAACTGAACATTATAGTAGTTCCATACGAGTAGCATTTTTCTTTCATTTTCCTTTTCCCCCTTGTTGCACTTGGTTGAGCTTTCTTGTGATTATCAGGGAAATGGACCTTTTGCTTGTTCCTTACTGGGCAGATCGTGATTTGGATCTTATACAATGGCCTCCGTTTTTACTTGCTAGCAAGGTTTGTTTTATTATGCATAGAGAGAGATTCTATAATGTTCAATTTCTGATGTACATTCTTTATTGTGTGTCTGCCCTTTAGATCCCTATAGCATTAGACATGGCCAAGGACAGCAACGGAAAGGATAAAGAGCTAAAAAAGAGAATTGAGGCTGACAGTTACATGTCTTGTGCTGTTCGTGAATGTTATGCTTCATTTAGGAACATTATTAAGTGCCTGGTTCAAGGTGAACGTGAAAAAGAGTGAGTTTCAGTACAGTTTAAGAAGTCTTAGTGGACTCGTCATAGCTTCATTTAATCTCCGAGTCTGTTGTCCTTTTTTTTTTTTTTTTTTTGCCTGCAAGTGGTAATTTATCTTATTGGCTTTCCAGGGTTGTAGAATACACATTCTCTGAGGTTGAAAAGCACATAGAAAGTGGCGATCTACTTGTTGAGTTCAAGATGAGTGCTCTTCCTAATCTCTATGAGCACTTTGTTAAGCTTATCAAGCTCTTGGTAAGATTCGAATATTCCCTAGAAATATAGTCTCGAGCTCAGTCATGTTAATCAGGTTTTATTTCGATCAATAACATAACCATAATTTTGCAGTTAGAGAACAAGCAGGAGGACAGCAATCAAGTTGTGCTTACTTTCCAGGACATGTTGGAAACTGTGACTAGAGACATAATGATGGAGGATCATATATCGAGGTGTTGAATTGTTACTTGATTCCTCCTCAGATGTGCATTCCTCCTCAGATGTGCATTATGCTATATCCTAGTAATAATGTGTCATTATTTTGTTGAGTAGTTTGATGGATTCAAGCCACGCTGGATCTGGGCTTGAGGGGATGATTCCACTTGATCAACAATATCAGTTATTTGCATCTGCTGGAGCTATCAATTTTCCTATCAAGCCACTAACAGAAGCATGGAAAGAGAAGGTGTTCCATCAATTTAGATTTGAGTTATGACATAATATTGAAGTCGTTGAAGTTCCTAAGATCACATGTCTCTATTTCAGATAAAACGACTTTATCTGTTGCTTACCACAAAGGAATCTGCCATGGACGTGCCATCCAATTTAGAGGCTAGAAGGAGAATTTCTTTTTTCTCAAACTCGTTGTTTATGGACATGCCTGATGCCCCAAAAGTTCGCAATATGCTTTCTTTCTCGTAAGTTTTTTGTCAGAATGTTAATAACTGTTCTACTCATTGCATCTTCCTTCTATTGCAACTCACTGTGTCTTGCATTTATCTGCAATATTGCCGGTTAGTTGGATGTTGTAGGCTTGTGTCTCTTTTCTTTTTCTATGGCTCTTTCCTGACCAAAATAAAAAACTTTTTACCTGTAGTGTTTTGACTCCTTACTACACAGAGGAGGTTCTTTTCTCCTTGCGTGATTTGGAAGAACCAAATGAGGATGGTGTCTCAATATTGTTCTACCTGCAAAAGATTTTTCCAGGTTTATTTCTCACTACACCATTAATTGTCTGGCATTGTATAGTCTTTCGCGTGAAGAAAATATGATTGTTTTGTTAATCAACTGTTGGATTAAAACATCCAGATGAATGGGAAAACTTCCTTCAGCGAGTGAATTGCAGTAATGAGGAGGAACTAAAAAAATCTGATGAATTGGAAGAAGAACTACGTCTTTGGGCCTCATATAGAGGCCAGACTTTGACTAGAACTGGTAATTTCTACTGGATAATCTTTCGCGAAGAGATTGCCTTTTGCATATTGTTTTTCATGTTTTTCCTTACAGTTACTAAAGTTTGTGTATGAATTTCAGTAAGGGGTATGATGTACTATCGGAAAGCATTGGAGCTTCAGGCTTTTCTTGATATGGCTAGAGACGAGGGTATTTTTTTTATCTCATGGAAAAAAGTCATGTCTTCTTTTATGTATGATGCTAAGACCTAAGAATGCAGTCTTATTCGGAATTTTCACGGCTTTAGATTTGATGGAGGGCTACAAGGCTGTGGAATTGAATTCAGAGGATCAACAGAAAGGGGAAAGATCACTTTGGGCACAATGCCAAGCAGTAGCTGATATGAAATTCACATATGTCGTATCTTGCCAACTTTATGGTATTCACAAGCGATCTGGTGATCCTCGTGCACTGGACACCTTGAAGCTCATGACAACGTACGTGTCCACCAGGCATATAGTATATTCTTGAACTGTTTTCTGTCAAAAAATTTAATTGACAAGTCTTTCAATATGGCAGATATCCATCACTTCGTGTGGCGTATATTGATGAGGTTGAGCAAACAAGCATAGACAGATCAAGTACAAGAAACAACCCGAAACTTTATTATTCAACTCTGGTCAAGGCTTTGCCAACAAAATCCATTGATTCTCAGGAACCGTTTCAAAATCTGGACCAGGTACACATCATTACGACAGTGTGTTCAAATGGATGGTGCAATGCCAGACATTTAGTAATGCTTTCTTTTCTTGTATAATATTGATGATTGCATGACCTAGCTATCAAGTTCCTTGAGCTTCGTAGGTATCAATTTGGTCCATGTCACACTCATTACATTAGATTCAAATATGCAATTGCTCTCCATTTCAAACTCATAGTTTGAAACACTAGCAATGGCTAAATTGTGTTGCAAAATAAGCATGACATTTGGGTTAATCTATTGGTTGAACCTTAGACGCATATCAAGATATGTTAATTAATTCTAGACTAGTCTCTCAATATGGATTATTAAATATTTAAAGCCTTAAACGTATAAATGCCCATCATGAGTAAATAGTTTCCAAGCAAGTAAACTGTTTACAATTCTTGTTGGGTTTTCGTTTGAGTCTGACTTAATGACTACATAATATTTTTCACTAAATCGTGCCATTTTCTGTACACAGATTATCTATAGAATAAGGCTTCCAGGACCTGCCATTTTGGGCGAGGGAAAGCCAGAAAACCAGAACCATGCCATTATTTTCACACGTGGGGAGGGTTTGCAGACAATAGATATGAACCAGGTAAGACATTTTACACTATTGCAAAAGTTCATCTTGTGGCCTATTGTCAATCTTCTAATGTTTCTGAAACTTTTACAGGATAATTACATGGAAGAAGCCTTAAAGATGAGAAACTTGCTGCAAGAATTTCTAAAGAAGCATGGTGTGAGAAATCCTTCGATTCTTGGACTGAGGGAGCATATATTTACTGGAAGGTAGATTTGCTGGTAATTGTGAATTAGATAGAAATATGTTTATAATTACTGTATTTCTGACTGATCCGCTATGTGGTGTAGTGTTTCTTCTCTAGCTTGGTTCATGTCAAATCAAGAGACTAGTTTTGTGACTATTGGACAGAGATTGTTGGCCAACCCACTGAAGTAAGTTAAAACTTCTAAATCTCTTTCAAAGATTCGTGTAAAAAGGAAAAATAGGCCCAAGTCCAATGGGTTATTGTAACTGAAAATTTTGTTTCCTTTTGTTCCTTTTCTTTACAAGTTTGTTGTTTATCGTTGCTAACTTAAGCTCTTGGTTCTTTGTTACTGCTCTTTCAGGGTTCGCTTCCACTATGGTCATCCCGATGTGTTTGATAGGCTCTTTCACCTTACTAGAGGAGGCGTCAGCAAAGCGTCCAAGGTTATCAATCTGAGTGAAGACATATTTGCTGGTAAAAAAGGACTTTTTTGAGTGAAGAAAACTCTTTCTTGTATTTTATACATGATTTTGGTGTTACCAATGAATAACACGATTGTTTTGCAGGATTCAATTCTACATTGCGTGAAGGCAATGTAACTCATCACGAGTACATACAAGTTGGGAAGGGGAGAGATGTGGGCCTCAACCAGATTTCTATGTTTGAGGCGAAAATAGCCAACGGAAATGGAGAGCAGACAATGAGTCGAGATATATATCGTCTTGGACATCGTTTTGATTTTTTCCGGATGTTGTCATGTTATTTCACCACAATTGGTTTCTACTTTAGTAATTTGGTATTATTACTAACTTTTTGCTGTATAATTCAGGTTTAAACTGCTTTATAGTATTTGAAGGCACTGAACAATATAACCTGTCTCCCTCTTGCAGATAACCGTGCTTACTGTATATGTGTTTCTATATGGTCGCCTTTATCTCGTTCTTAGTGGACTTGAAGAAGGTTTAAGTACTCAAAAAGGTATACGGGATAATCAGTCTCTTCAAGTCGCTCTCGTTTCTCAATCTTTTGTCCAGATAGGATTTTTGATGGCCCTGCCTATGTTGATGGAAATTGGCCTGGAAAGGGGTTTCCGGACAGCACTGAGCGAATTCATACTGATGCAATTGCAACTAGCCCCAGTGTTTTTCACATTCTCACTTGGAACAAAAACCCACTATTATGGAAGGACGTTACTTCATGGAGGTGCAAAATATAGGCCCACAGGTCGAGGTTTTGTTGTGTTCCATGCCAAATTTGCTGATAACTATAGGCTTTACTCGCGCAGCCACTTTGTGAAGGGCCTTGAGCTCATGATCTTATTGATTGTATACCAAATTTTTGGCCAACCTTATAGAAGTGCTGTTGCCTATGTTTTGATCACTATATCCATGTGGTTTATGGTTGGCACCTGGCTTTTCGCACCTTTCCTTTTCAATCCTTCGGGTTTTGAGTGGCAAAAGATTGTTGATGATTGGACTGATTGGAACAAGTGGATAAGCAATCGAGGGGGTATTGGTGTTCCTCCTGAAAAGAGTTGGGAATCATGGTGGGAAGAGGAACAAGAGCATCTCCGTCATTCTGGGAAGCGTGGTATAATAGTTGAGATATTGTTGGCTATTCGATTCTTTATTTATCAGTATGGGCTTGTATATCACTTGACCATTTCAAGGAAGACCAAAAGTTTTCTGGTAAATCCTGACTCAGTAATCCTTCTTTGTTCTCACTCTCTCTGCTTAACAAGAAATAGTAGTAGTAGAAAATCATTCTCATTTTTTTTTTCCAATTTGTTAAGAGTGTCAATTATTTTGTTCTGATTCTTTAACAGTATTTTATTTTTGCTTAGCTTGATGATATAAATACATGGTGGCAATGCAGAGTAGCCTAACAAGCCATATTATGCTAGTTTTGGAGTCTTTATCTTCTCGTGACTTGTTTTATTCTGAATAGCTAACATCATGGGTTTTCAATTATTTTCAGGTTTATGGCATCTCGTGGCTGGTCATTTTTGTAATATTGTTTGTGATGAAGGTGAGTTTCAATTCGCGCCCCAACCCCCACACCCCAGTTTTGGGTATAAAGTGATTTCTTCCTAAAGGCATTATTTGTTCCTCAAACAACAAATTGATGCAGTTCTATTCGTTGGGCTATTTAATTTTTATTGTTTAGGTTCTTCCTTATTGTGTTCAGTATATATTCCGAGTTGTTTCCTAAATGAATTACATACAGCAATGTTGTTGTTTACTGACGCCTATTCAGATGTGGGCTGTTTTTAATTTATTTATTCCATGAACTTTGACTGAGTTCTGTGTTTTTCCTTCCTTTTTGAAGACCGTGTCAGTTGGGAGGCGAAAATTCAGTGCAAATTTCCAACTCATGTTCCGGCTGATCAAGGGATTGATATTCTTAACTTTTGTGTCCATTCTGGTCACTTTGATCGCCCTTCCACACATGACAGTGCAGGACATTATTGTGTGTATTCTTGCTTTCATGCCGACTGGCTGGGGAATTCTTTTGGTCAGTTATAAGTTTCTCTAAATACTTCTATATTCATATTCCGTTTCTTTTGAACTCTAATGAAGGTAGATCTGTTAATTTGGAAATTTTTGATTTTCTGCTTTTACATTTATCTGTCATCTGCTGTCTTAAAAGATTTCTTATTTAGTAAATTGCCATTTTATTTCTGGTTAATTAGAATGTAACAATGGTTAAGGGCATCAATGGTGTCTGGGCACCGCCTGATGCATGTGGGACCCATGAGTAGTGGTGCCTGGCATCGCTGATTGCAGATAATATAGCTCTTTGCATCATCCACTTCGATTAGCTTCTCTGATATGAATATGCTGCAATCGCCTAATATGTTGTTTCCTATTCATGTCCAACCAGATTGCACAAGCCTTGAAGCCTGTTGTCCATAGAGCTGGGTTCTGGGGATCTATTCGGACACTTGCTAGAGGCTACGAGATTGTGATGGGTTTGCTTCTCTTTACTCCAGTTGCATTCTTGGCTTGGTTCCCATTTGTGTCGGAATTCCAGACCCGTATGCTCTTCAACCAAGCGTTTAGCAGAGGTTTGCAGATTTCTCGTATTCTTGGCGGGCAAAGGAAAGATCGATCGTCCCGAAACAAAGAGTGAGCCAACTTACCGACAAGCAAGAACACACAAAAGAAAACTGTTTATTGTTATTGAAATGTTCATATCTAATGTAAATTATGAACTTTGAGGTTGGGGCTGCAATTTTGTTAATTCCGTCTGGTGATTGACGAGCGCCCCCACCATCTTTTCTAATTCAAACGATTGGAGGGATTTTATTCAGTTTCCTGTGTAAGCTTGTTCTGTCGTTGTTTTTAAACGATCACTTATTTTTGCGTTATTGCTTCTCATCCCGACCAGCGTACACCACCTTCCAACTTTAATTTTACGTCTCAATGAAAAACGGCATCGCGTTTTTAATTCTGGGTTTTTTCTTGTTGGAACGGTGGACGACATGTGGTACATTTGTAGCTGTAATGAAGTAAATCGAAGATTTACACTAAATAATTGAAGTAAATAACAGATTATTGATTTTAAAACAAATAACTACAAACCACACTATCAATTTTATTACTTCTAACGAACAAAAAGACTACTGAGAAGAACAAAAAAGGAAAAAAATAATAAATAAAGAGCAATGAAGAGCTTTTGGTACGGAGTTTTCTGGAAGCTCGCACATAACAATAGTATTCGAAAATACAAGTACAAATGGCGTAAAATTTATCCATGTAAAAAAACAGGGTTCAAAAACACACAAAAATCCGGAAAAAAAAAAAACATGCATGATAATCCAAAGTTTCTCAGAAATCTCCTTCTTTGTTGGGAACAGTAACATGAACGATAATGTTGGTTACACAATGTTTGCTTCCACCTTCCATTCTGATATAACCGCAATCTTTTATAATCATATGACAACATTTGCATATTGTACACATATAGCCTATCTTTTTTCAAATATTATTCTTATCTCATCATCATAAAGTTACAATCTTTATGCTCATGTTCGTTAATTATCAAAGTTTTGTTGCTTGAATTTGTTAATTACGATGGTGAACATTGTTATAAAATTGCAATCTTTATAAATGATAATTGAAATTGTAATGACTTTCTAAATGAAACATTTAGTTAATTATATTAGTACTCTAATTTTCTCAGCAACATTGAAATTTGAAAGCACAATAGCTAGGTCCTATTTCCCTCCTTTTTACTGCCTATGGTCCTTGTGGCATAAGTTAATCCACAACCACTTGTAGTAGCACGCTGCCTAATTACCTTGTAAAAATTACCCTATAACTAATTGCAAAATTACTATGAAAGAATTGAAATTTAACAAAACTTTCGGAATATTTAAAAATATAAAAAAATCAAATAGTAATTATCATAATCATAATTAATATCCTATTTTTATAATATATACTCATAAAGCAATTATTTTAATGATATTCGTTTTTGTTATTCTGAAAATATTCCGAAAATTTTGTCATCTTTCAACTTCGAGATTTTGCTGTTTGTCTAAAAGCCCAATTACCTTCACGAATTGGACTCTGTTTTGGAGAAGCCCACCTACAAGCCCGTACGAAGGTAATCTGAAAGCCCAATCCACATACTGGGTCATAATGTTGGATCCAGCCCACCAATCAGCATCCCAAACACGGCGACCAACATCTGCAGTATTAGTCAATAGTGTAAGACGCGGAGAAATTAATAAAACTTCGCGAATAAGGAAAGCATGATTGACTTTTCTAAACGGTCACCGTCTTGAATCTGATCCCATTATCCGTTACCGTGTGCGATCACTACCGGCTGTAGCCGGTAAAACCCATCACTCTCCTCCGTTTCATTTCCCATTTCTTTTGGAAAGAAATAGGAAAATAGAGGAAGACTTGAGATGAATTAAAATTAATAAGTTAATAGTTTACATAAGTTAATAAATTGGCTAAATTACTATTTTTGTCCATAACTTATCTGGTTATGAACCATAACTTGACAAGTTATTATCCATAATTCACGGTTTTTGTCCATAACTTGTCTGGCTATGAACCATAACTTGACAAATTTATCAATAATTTATCTGATTATGAACCATAACTCGACAAGTTATGACCTATTAATTTCTATAACTAAAAATTAGCCTATATATTTTCTTAAGCTTTTCATATTGGCATATTTTCTACTATTTTCGTTTCTTTTTTTAGTTTCTTATTTTAGAATTAATTAGAAAAATTCCTTTTCGTTTCTAATTATTTAAAAAAAAAATGCTTTATACAATTCTTTTTGAAAAGGAAAAAAATGCTTTTATACAATTCATGGTTAAAAATTAAGAAGTCAAATTTCAATTTTACCTCAAAATAAAACAACTAACAAATAGCCTAAAACCTCTTAATTTAGTGGCACTCAGTTTTTAAGTGGGGGTTACGTGATCAATCTATAAAAAAAAACAACTAACAAATTTTAATTAAAACTAACTTTTTAGTATTATAACAAATCTAAACATCCTTGTGTCAAAATTCATAATCATTTTCGGTTTATGTGTGTTTTTTGTAAGAAAAAATACTGTAGCAAATCACGAACTATAATCCGAACCATGACACGAATTCTTACTCCAAACACAACACAAATTTGTCAGAAGACAGGTATTGATTTGAGTGCTCGTTTAGATTGGCTTCAAAAACACTATTTTTGGCTTATTTAGTCCAAAAATCACTTTTAAACCTGTTTAGATGGACAACCTTAAAATGTTTTGGACTTTTTTAAACACTTTTAGAACAAGTCATCTCTTTAGTGCTTATGAAAAAAGTGTTTATGAAAAGCTTTTTTATTTACATTTTTAACCTTTTATTTGTGAACAACAAATTCAATACCCCATCTATATCCTTTTATTACATTACTTTTTATAACAATAACTGCTTTTGATTTGTTTACTGAAACATGTTCAAAAACTCTTCTTAAATATAAAAATATTTTTTAAGATACTATCTAAACACTAATTAAAAAGTCTCAATTTATACTTATATTTTTCTACTACTTAAAAGTACAAGTACAAGCTATTGTTTACCCTAAGTATATTTTTTTCAATCTCACCATTAATGAATAATGAAGGAGAAATTTGAATGAAATTTTAAATTACACAGCATTAAATGTAATATTTGAAAATATAAAGCTACGTCTGAAAAAAATAAAAAGTTAGGCGATTCCTTAATCCTTGCTTTTTTCTCTTCATTTTTCATTTTGTCTTTTTTGCTTTCCCATTTTTAAACATCCAAAGAAAGCAACCTTCATTTTCTCTCTTCATCGTCATCTTCTTCTTAAAAAGCTTATTAAACAGGAGAGAGAGTTACTTTTGAAAGAGATACCCGCTTTTTCTGTTCTGAGCTCGTGGAGACCGATTCAACTCGTCCTCAACTCAACTCGGTCTCTAGGGTTTATCGTCTCACGTACAATTTCGTCTCAGATTTAGGTACGCCATTTCTGATTTTCTTACATTTTTCTCTCGCTTCTTCATCTTCTTTTGTTCGCCGAGAAAATCCTGTGCGGAATCGGTCGGAGCTGAGGGAAAATGGAGCTCGATTTTCGGATCCTTTTATCTTTCTTTCAATCTTTTCCCCCAGGATATAGTGGTTTTTGTTGGCGTTTCCTTCATTTTCTCTGTGGCCAAACGGAGCATAACACGGAATTATACTTCAACGCGAATTGAGATTCCGTTATTTTGAGCTTATGCGTCTGCCATTGAGCATCTTAAGGTTGTTTTCTTACCAGAGAAGTTGATTCACTGAGATTTAAAGTTAGGAAGTAGAATTTAGCAAGATGTAAGTTTCTCAAACCTCACGCGATAATTTGGTTATTTAGTTTTCCAAAATTTGGCTTTTCAGAAGGGTTGAGGTGATGATTGTGGTATTACTGTCTAGTTATTTTTTAAATTGCTCAAATTCTATGGATTGTATTTGTAAGAATGGCTGTTGAATTCTTTCGATCTGTACCTACTGGAGTAGTGCAATGGCGGCCTATCTTCTTTGTGTGTCATCAAGATATTCATCAAATGAACTTTTATGCGGAGATTTAGTTTATTTGTTATTGCTATTTGTTTGTTTGTTTGTCCTTTTTTCTTTTTTGCGTATTAAAATTCAGTTGCTATGTTTTATAGAAAATGTCGCACGTTGAGGATCTGTGGGAGCGTTTAGTTCGTTCCGTTTTGAGGAGAGAAAGGACTGGAAAAGACGCGTATGGGCGGCCAGTTGAGGGGATTGCTGGATACGTTCCATCTTCACTTGCAAACAATAGGGATATAGATGAAATTCTGAGAGCTGCAGATGAAATCCAGGATGAGGATCCCAATGTGTCCAGAATCTGTATGTTATGCATTTTTCATTTTGAATCTCTTGAGTTGAAAGAAATTAATTACGTCCCCATTTGGTTTGTTGGTTCAAATTTTGTTGATTTGAATCCTTTTTTTAACAAAAAAATCAAACTGTATGGTTTAAATTGTAGTTCGAATTGGTGTTTGGATGTGCAGTAAAAATTTTAATTTGAATAGGAAATAAAATTCAAATGTGTGTTTGGTAGGTGTGAAAAGCATATATAGTAGGCACCTTTTTAATGTTCATGAACTATTGAACTTAAGGAGAAGCTAAACTCTAAGTTAGCCAGTTCAACTTAGTTCAAGTGGAGAATATAATTTGAACTGCATGCTTACCAAATACGAGTTCAAACTATACTCACCGTTCAAACTGAGTTGAATTGAATTAAACCAGTGAAATAAACGGGGGCTACTATATCTGAGAGAGTTAAAGACTTTGTAAAGTTTTATAGCTATCACATTTTTTGTTCTCCCACAGTGTGTGAGCATGCATATTCGCTTGCTCAAAATCTGGATCCTAACAGTGAAGGAAGGGGAGTGTTACAATTCAAAACTGGATTGATGTCTGTTATTAAGGTATACGCTTAGTTTGACATCAGTAAATTCTGTTCTAAAATCTCAGTCTGTTACATTGTGCAATGCTTACACTTGTACTAGAATTTCATGTTTGCATATGGACATATGTACTTGTCTTCATTTTTTTTTCCTCCGGATCCATATTTTCAGCAAAAACTAGCAAAGAGGGAGGGTGGACTAATAGATAGAAGCCAGGACATAGCTCGTCTGCAAGAGTTTTACAAACTCTACAGAGAAAAGAATGATGTGGACAAGTTACGAGAAGAAGAAATGAAGCTGAAGGAATCTGGTGCTTTCAGTGGAAACTTGGGCGAGTATGTAACCCACTATTTGAACCTAACTAGACGTGCTTTTTATTTGCTGTATATGTATTAGTGTAAACGTAAAAAATATGTTTACTTGTAAGCAAAAAGGAAAAAGAAATGAAGAACAACGCATGTAAGTAATGCATTTTAACTATTTTTTTCTATTTTGTTAGCGCGCTTTGGAAAATTATTTAATAACCCGTTCGGTTCGTGAGATAAAACGCTGTAGCAAAAATGTTTGAACAGTAATTTGAACTTATGAAACAAACTGGAGCTAAGTCCATTTTATTTCCTTTTCTTTTCATTTTCCCTTTTATTTATTTATTTATTCATTTATTTTTGTGTGGTAACTAAAGATTTCTCTTGACCCTTTTATATTTTCCATGCTCAACCTTAACCTCAGGATTGAAAGTTATTTCATAGTTTTTGTCTTCCTTGGCCTGCATAATTCATCTCTTTGTGTATTATTATTTCTTGAACCCAGGTTGGAGAGAAAGAGAGTAAAGAGGAAAAGAGTCTTTGCAACTCTAAAAGTTTTAGGGGCTGTTCTTGAGCAGTTATCTCCAGAAATTCCTGATGAGGTTCGTTGTGTTGTTCTCTTGAAATTGGTTAAGAACTTGAGTCGAAGCACTTAATCTTTTTTGTGGCACATGCTTTTTTGCTATTGTTGTCAACTTGTCATTGTCATTAATGTAGTTGTGAATACTACCATCCACATTTTTGTGCGTCTATGGGCGCTTTGTGCTTGTGCATGTGTAAAAACTGAACTTGAGTTTGTGAGTCATCCTCTGGGAAGGGCTGATAAAAAGAGAAAATACTTGGTCCAGGTTGTTGTTTTAGCGACTTTCTTGGGGGTTCTGTTGGAGAGAAATTATAGAATTTTCTAGGGGTGCGAGGAGTGTGTTATTTTGTATGGGATAGGGTAAAATTTTGGCTGGCTCTTTGGGTCCATGGAGAGAAGGAATTTAGAATTTTTTTTGTTAGGAATTTGGCTTCTTCAGTGCAGTACGTTTTTTGTTGATTATCGGAGGATAGGTCATCCTCTCTAATTACACAAGTTCTTATTATCAATAAGAGAACCTTGTTTCTGTTTCAAAGGGGAAAAAAGACAAGAGAATCTTGTTTCTCTCTTCTTCTTTAGCTTATATACATTGGAACAATATTACTAAGCATACACTATCTAATTTTTGCAGCTGAAACGGGTAATGGAATCTGATGCAGCTATGACGGAGGACCTAATTGCTTACAACATTATTCCACTCGATGCTCCTAGCACAACAAATGCCATTGTTTCTTTGCCGGAGGTTAATTAGTTTAACTTTATTTATTTTCCAGTCCATATTTTGTTGTTTGTGACACGTCTTAACCCAATGAGTTTATGGCCAGGTTCGAGCAGCAATATTAGCATTAAAATATTTCAGAGGCCTACCGACATTGCCCACTGATTTTTCCATTCCTGCTACAAGGAAAGCTGATATGCTTGATTTTCTGCATTACATGTTTGGATTTCAGGTTTGTTGCTTCTTAATGACATGGTATATTTAGCTTATTCCTTCCATTTGTATGTTTTTCTTGCCTGTTTTTGATGGCTTAGGAAATTGAACCTTTGTACTGATCAAAATCATTTTTCTGAGCATGTATGCTTCTTGCTTCTAATTCTTAAAGTTTATGATGCCAGAAAGACAGTGTCTCCAACCAGCGTGAACATATTGTTCAGCTTCTTGCAAATGAACAGTCACGACTACATATTCTTGAAGAAAGTGAGCCTGTAAGTCTACAAATATAACTGTTGATTTATGTTTGGTATTGCAAAATATTGGGAATTTGGGATGGTTATTTCTATATGTTCGTCACCTTTTTTTTTGTATATATTTTTTTTACTCTTCTATTCTTCAGGTTGCATTTGAAATCTAGGTTTCTGAAGAAATATTTGCTGGAAATCGTGTTGCTTTAATTTTACAACTAGTTGTCTCAACTTTTACGTCTTCTTTCAAATTTATATGGTGTTACTATTAAGTTTTGGGTTTCGTCAATTATGATATAGTATGCGACTTGCTTCTTTTTAAAATCAGTGAAGTTCCAAGTTTTTTTATATCAAAGAAGGAAAGATATAGTGAGTGCTTGCTCTAAACTTGATTATGCTCAGTAGGAAGAGTTTTCTTTGAGTTTTTAGTTGCTGTTTATGTTATTTTCTGTAGTCTCTAGGGGATGTCTTGTTCTCTGGGTTCTGGAATGTTTCTCCCTTGAAAAATTTTCCTCATTGCTCTTCTTTAGGCTTGTTCAAAACTTCTTTCCCAAAAGAAACATGATGAGTAATAACTACTAAAGCATCTTTAAATGTGTGATTTATTCCTGCTCTCATTGGCATCGATACACCTAAGGCAGCTGACTCTGTTGCTCATCTGGCGTTGCATTTCCCGTCATGTTGTAGTTGTAGGTTTAGTTTATACTCAATTTCATTGATTCGTGGGTTTGGTATTTTATTTCGCACACTTAAATGGAACTGCTTTTGAGTTCCCCATATTATGGAGACGCACCATTGTTATAACGCAGACATAACTATAGAGTTTGGATTGAGTCCTAGTTTAGAGTCTGGATTGTATAAGGATTTTTCACGTAGAAAGGTATGACTCAGAGTCTTAGACAACATTGCAAGATCGATGCTGTTATCTACGTTTGGAGGTCTATATATTTTCTTTGCCCTGGAAATAGGTTTTCTTGTACTAGAAATATGTTATGCAACAAATCCTTGTTGAGACTGATTTAGGTTGATCATTTTTAATGTCCGGATGTGTTCCTACATTGCCTCAGGAATTGGATGAGGCTGCAGTGCAAAGCGTATTCCTCAAGTCCCTTGAGAACTATATTAAATGGTGTAGTTACTTGGGTATTCAGCCAGTTTGGAGCAAGTATGGATATCTAAATCTCTTTCTATACTCTTTCTTGCTGCTCCTTATTTTATTATTGGTTTATGGTGATTGAGACTTTTGGGATGTTTTAATGGAGTTCAGTTTTGAAGTTGTTAGCAAGGAAAAGAAACTACTCTTTGTTTCCTTGTACTTTCTGATATGGGGTGAAGCAGCCAACATCAGGTTTCTTCCAGAATGCTTGTGCTACATATTCCATCATGTAAGTCGACAATCAGCTGTTCTTCAGAATTTCTGTGGAAATTGAATTTTGTTTTATCTCTTAATACCTGGCACCTGCCCAGTTTTCTCTTGGTTGTGATAAAACATTATTAAAGATTCTATTTTTCATATCCTCTCTAATTCTTGTGCTTGGTTCTGTTTCATATTGCTTATGCTGGAATATATTACCACGATTGTCACTTAGATGCAGTTACTAACCCATATAATGACAAAATATCTCCTTAGGTGGTTCTATAACTTTTTATTCCTTATAAAAAATATTTTTCTTCTTCCTATAAAAAAATATATTCCTTTGAGGTGGATTCTTCTTTTGAGGTCAAGCTAACGTCAACCTATTTGAAGCTCCTTGTTTAAATCGTTGAAGGTTTTTTTTCTTTTTTCATTCTTTTTTCTTTTTTTTTGCTTGGTTTCTTATAAAGAATTTATTGAAGTCAATTACTTCATAATTGTTAACTTAATTACTTCCCATGCCTATTCTGTGAGGTGCATGTCTGTCAGTCTTTTTTCATTGTTCCCCTTCTATGGTCTCATTGAAATCATTTTCAGTATCCTTTTCCGTTTTCTCTCACTTTAGTCCATGGCTAAATTATTTCTCTTCTTTTTTTATGTGAATTTTTGTGAAAGCTAGTTTTATATTCTTTCTAATTATTTGTCTTATCCTTTACCATGCATAATTCCTTCTCTCTTTGAATCATAATTAATGGCAGATGGCCAGGGAAATGGATGAGATTTTGAGGCAGCAGATTGCACAGCCTGCGAATAGCTGCAATTCTGAGAATGGTGTTTCGTTCCTTGATCAAGTTATCTTTCCTCTATATGATGTTGTGGCTGCAGTATGTCTCTCTAACCATCTTTTACTTGACATATTGAATGAAAGAATTTATTTCTTTAAATTCACTTTTGACGTTGATAGCTATTGATTTGTTTATGTCATTTTGGTGATTGAGATGTTATTGGGAGCTAATGGTTTTTGATCTTGTATTTTTTTCTTTTGTGTTTGTTTTGTTAAGCTTTGCTGCTCTTAATCAAATTTTTGAAAATATGGTTTTTGATACTTTGGGTCCTTTGGTTAGAACAGGATCCAGTAGACCTTTTTGAGAAAGCAAGATTCTTGGTTTGGCTTTGGGCATCGATAGATCTTTCTTTTAAGAATTTTTCACTTTCTCTGATCATGTTAAGCTGGGGAGATGATTTAGTGTAGGAGTTATTTCATGTTAGGGCTTTTTGATGCATTTTGTTTATGTTGAAGTTTTATCTTTGTTGCTCTACTCTTGATGGATTCTCCATCCATCTCTGCTTTTCTTTGTAATTTTCACTTTAGTCAATAGAATTTTTCATTTTTTTTATATATAAAAACAAAGATATAGGAGGATTCTTTGTCCGCTCTTTGCTGTACTTTTTTTGGCTATTAATGAAGTTGTTTCTTATTAAAAAAAACACGCACACATATATACTGACGAATTTGCTTATGTTATATTTATATATAATATATCTGATTGAATTTTTGTTTTTGTTTTGCTTTACTTGTATTTTGAGGATACCTTATCCTCTTGTAACCGCTATTGATAATTATCAATAAAGGTTTTTTTTTATTAAAAAAAATACTGTAATGAATTTGCTTACGTTATCTTTTGGAGGAGTATTTGTGTAAATGTCGTATGAAGGTTTTCCAATTTAGATAAGTGTTTCTGACATCCTTCACTTCTTTTTTTTTCCCTCGTCTATCAAAATGCACAGGAAGCTGCAAACAATAAAAATGGACGAGCACCTCATTCTGCATGGCGCAATTATGATGATTTTAACGAGTATTTCTGGTGAGATTTTTGTAGGAGTATGTGCACTTAGCAAATATTATATTTTAAAGGCTAACAATTTTCTGCTCAGGTCACTTAATTGTTTTGAACTTGGCTGGCCATGGCGCAAAAATTCACCTTTTTTTCAAAAGCCAATACCCAAGAAGGTTAGCTACTTTCTCTTGATGAATATTATACTTTGCATAGATACATGCATGCATGCATGTATTCCCGTAAATATAACACACACGTACACACAGTAACACAGATATCCTCTGCCGACCAAACACGGTCTATGGTACTTCGCTACTGCTTGTATGGTGGTCCATATGGGCTTCACTCTTGCAAATGTGTTGCTGATTATATTTTCCTTTTCTGAAACAGGGGATGCTTAAATCCGGTGGAAGTAAACATCAGGGAAAAACATCTTTTGTTGAGCACCGAACTTTTCTTCACCTTTATCATAGTTTCCATCGTCTATGGATATTCCTTGCGATGATGTTCCAGGTTTGCATGTTTGCTTGAATCTGAGTATGTCAAATATATCTTATGTATTCTGATCTTTGACATGGTTCTGTCAAAATTCATAGTTGAATATTTTTCATTCTTTTTGCTCTCTCTCTCTCTCTCTGGCAATTGTGCTTTTATTCTGTTTTAGCTTTTTGATACCCATTTTACTTTTAAGATTTAAGAGTCGTTGCCTCCAAGACTGCAAGCTATTATGTTGTCAATTGATTCAACTTCTCTTCTATTTTCAGGGACTCGCCATTATTGCATTCAATAAAGGAAATCTTAATGCGAAGACCTTTCGGGAAGTTCTCAGTCTTGGTCCAACATTTGCTGTCATGAAGTTTTTTGAGAGTATGTATTTATCTCGTGTTTCATGGTTTGGGTATTATATTAACTTGTCCTTTGAACTCCTAACTAACTTTCTAATTAATGTTTTCTGGCCGATTTTATTGTTATATTTCGTTCATCCAGGTGTCCTAGATGTTATTATGATGTATGGGGCATATTCTACAACACGGAGCCTAGCAATTGCTCGTATTTTTCTTCGTTTCCTTTGGTTTAGTATTGCTTCAGTTGTCATAACTTTTCTTTATGTGTACGTATTTTTTCTTTTCTCTACGTTTCTTATATCAGTTTGTTTCTGCCTGGGTGTCTTTGGGTTGTTTCTGTCTAATTTTGTGTCAAAGTTAACGTTTCCTCTGTTAAATTCAGGAAAGCACTCCAAGAAGAAAGTAAACGAAATGGAAACCCTGTTATTTTCAGATTGTATGTGATTCTCGTAGGCATATATGCTGGCATCCAATTTTTCATTAGTTTCCTCTTGCGGATTCCTGCCTGCCACCAGTTGACTAATCAATGTGATCGCTGGTCCATAATTCGCTTTGTCAAATGGATGCGCCAGGTCTGTTTATGTGACTTTCATGTTTCCTATTGTTATGTTGATTTGCATATACTTAATTCTTGGTTTATTGACTAGTGTGTTCATTTTTGAAGGAACACTATTATGTTGGACGTGGTATGTATGAGAGGACCACTGATTTCATCAAGTAATCTCTTATTCTCTCTCTCTCTATCTATCTCTCCCTATACTTATGATATCTCGAATTTATCATACTTGGTGGTGAGAAAGGGGTGTGTGTGTGTGTGTTTTCTATTCCCTTTTTTAATAGAAGAAAAGTATTCTTAATTATGCTCTGTTCGTCAGAACAAAGAAAATGTGGTGGCGACTAATTTGTTTGAAATGATTTAAAAAGTTGTGTTATATTGGCACGTGTTAGAGGTGACTGGAAGTTGTTAGAAAATTGTTTTGCAATCTTGCAGGTACATGCTGTTTTGGCTTGTCGTTTTGGGTGCAAAGTTTTCATTTGCCTATTTTCTCCAGGTTAGTCATGAATGGAATTTTCCTCTGGCTATATTTATTTTTAATAGTGTAAGTATGTTTCTATGTTTGTTTTTTGCAGATCAAGCCGCTTGTAGGACCAACTCAGACAATAGTGAAAATGGATAGCATAGAATATTCTTGGCACAGTATAGTATCTAAAAGTAAGCCGCTGATTGTTTTCCTCTTGAAATGTTAAGCGTTTAAATAATCTAATTTGGTTTATTGTGTCATTGCATATTATAGTACGCGTGCCTTTTGCTTTTGTTTTATATGTTGAATGCAGGAAATTATACTTTTTGACCATTTTATTAAAGTCCTAGTGCCTGTATTTGCAGATAACTATAATTTCTGGACTGTTGTTAGCTTATGGGCTCCAGTAGTAGCTGTAAGTTGCAACTTCCTCCTTACCACACAGACAACTATTTCCATCAGACCCAATGCAAAGATTACTATATGAATCATGATTCTTGGACACAAATCCAATGTGTACCAAATTTAAATTAGGCATATCTCAAATGCTTTTCGTATTCTTTTTGGGGAATCCGACCCAGTTACTTGTGATGACCTTTTTTTAGGTTGTTTACTACTGATTTATTTGAAATTTTTACGTTGAAAATTGATGGCTAATTTGTTGCAGTGGCAATCAATCTGTGATTGCATGCTTTCTTGGTACTGTTTCCCCTCTCTCCTGACCTCTCTCTTTATGTTGCAGATCTATATCTTAGATATCCATGTATTTTACACTGTTACATCAGCTATTTGTGGCTTTCTGCTTGGGGCCAGAGATCGTTTAGGAGAAGTGAGTAATTTTATCTGATTGGATGGATTTCTTTCTATCCATTACGTTTAAGATGAATCCTTTTTCTCGTTTTGTGTATTTGCAACCTTGCGCTTCCCCATAATATATTTTGTTGTGTTTCCAGATTAGGTCCTTGGAAGCACTTCACAAGCTTTTTGAGCAGTTTCCTGGAGCTTTTATGAACACTCTTCATGCTTCTCTCAGTAACAGGCAATTATTTTTTATTCTTTTAGCCTACCTTTTGCTAATCCATAATGGGAAACATTATTAGGAATCAAAAATGAGATTTTTCTAATGTTAGTTTACATCTAATTGGAAATTAAAAAAAATGAGGAGTTTGAATCTTGATTAGCGAAATGTGTCTAGAGTAAGAGTTTTCATGTACCCCAGCAACATAAAAGTTCAGGACCTCTAGATGACATGGATTGGTCACTTAAAAGGGAATTTGCAATTTTATATGTTTTATGAACCAAGTTTTAACTATCTTGTTTGTTAAGGGTTGAATCAGTTTTGTTGGTTTAGGATGTTGAATGGAGCATTGTTCAAAACACTGCAGGTTAATTGAATTCATTTATATTTTGTTTAGCTTTTCTAAAAAAAAGAATGAATGTTATTTAAAAATGAAGAAAAGTTTCTCCCATTGTTGGGAAAAGGAAATCTCAATCCACCCTTCCCCCACCATAATGTAATTCCTTCCCCTTTTTCCGTACTAGTGCAAGAAAAAAAGAAATTCATATGGAGTGTGAATCATTCCTAAAGTTGGCATTTCTGGCAAGTAGCAGTGCCATTTGTGGTTTTCCTGTTTATATAATTCCCATTACTGGCGAATCAACATTCTATTAGAGTTTTGGTTTTTGTTTTTTCACATTTCAATATCGATACCTTTCTCTATGGATGGAAAATTAAGAACTTCCATTGTTGCTTTCTCTTTCAAGTGAATGTTCTCCTTTCACTGGCAATTTAAGTGTAGTTTTTCTTTTGCAGGACTTCCCACCAGTCTTCCAGTGAGGTGAGTTGTACCAAAAAGAACCATACTTGCTGATACGATTTTAGTTTCTAGTTTCTAAATGAACAGTTTATAACGTTGGTCCAGTGAAAAGCATCCTTGAGGTGTAAGCCTCAATAGCAATAAAGAACGCTAAAAAATTTCTTAAAACCCAGGGGGATAAAACAAGTACTATAGTCGCAATATTGCATAGACATGCTATTATAAAAATGAGCGATTACTACAAATAGGCTGTTGTTAATAATCACTGTTTTTTTTTATCGGTTAAATTTTTTCTGTTCTAGTTCCTCATGGCTGATCCAAATCATCGTCAACAATTTGAGTGGATTAATGAGAACTTGCTACTAGGGTTCTTTGAGAGACCTTGCCCGTGTTTACTTTACTATCGTCATTTAAAAGTTCGGTAGATAATTTTAATGACCTGACAAAATTTTGCATTTGTAGGTTGTGGAGAAGAAGAAGGTTGATGCTGCTCGCTTCTCTCCATTTTGGAATGAGATCATAAAAAATCTTAGGGAAGAAGATTATATCACAACCCAGTGAGCACTAGGATCTACATTCATTTCATTGGCGCTTTGAAGTTCTGCAGGAATATTAATTTTGGTGCTATTCTTTTTTACCCTAAATTTTGTTTCAGTGAAATGGAATTGCTCGAAATGCCTAAAAATTCTGGAACTCTTCCTTTGGTTCAGTGGCCCCTCTTTCTTCTCGCTAGCAAGGTCACTAGTTGCTTGCATTAGTTTTGAATCTTTCTACGTATTTTTATTTTGGATAGAGAATGACTGTTTTCAGTACCATTGCATATTTTATTAAATTACTTAGATTAATGTTGTGATCAATTATTTTTATATAGATATTTCTCGCTAAGGACATAGCTGTGGAGAGTAGAGACTCACAAGAGGAACTTTGGGAAAGAATTTCAAGAGATGACTACATGAAATATGCTGTCCAGGAGTGCTTTCATACAGTTCGGCTTATTCTGACAAACATTTTGGATGATGAAGGAAAGATGTGGTAAGTTCCCAATAGAAGATACAAACTTTGTAGGCTTTATTATGGCTGCTATGACTGATAATATATTAGAAGAATTAAACCTTTCAGTTGTATTGGCCTTTGAAAATTTGATTTACTGCTGAAGAAATTATTATTATATTATTATTTTTTTCTTCCAGGGTTGAAAGGATATATGAAGATATATATGCAAGCATAGCAAAAAGGAGTATCCATGTTGATTTTCAACTAAATAAGCTAGCACTTGTGATATCAAGAGTATTTGCATTGATGGGAATTCTGGTACTTTTAATTTTTAAAACACTATTGTTCATATGTGTGGTAGTTGTGGTTACTCTATGTTGTCTCTCTCTTTTGTGTTTCTACCGGTTAGACATGTTGACTTTGCATGCCTTTCTTTTATCGGACCGGAGTCCAAGGTCCTTTAAATTTAGTATTCTGTTCCAATATTTTGATTGCTTAGCACTTGATACTATTACCAGTGAAGTATTTTGAAGGTTGGTAGTGCAATTAACAATCTTAGTACAGTTTTTATAATAAGAGTTTTTAAAACATGCTGGAAATTTATTTCATAGAACTAGACACCAATTCCTATTTTTCGTTCCAATCATTCTAGAAGCCATCTGTTTATTTGTTTTTTGGAAAAGGACCAGACATTTTTATTGGGAGAACAAAATTAAACAGAAAGGCAAGTGGTAGCTTTAGGAAAAAAAGAAGGAAAGAGGAAACTTAAAAGTACTGCTTTTACTCTTATATAAAAAAAGTACTGCTTCTCCCATAATGGATCTGTGATTTTGTGTCCTGTGCGAGTGTTTGTACAATTGCATCTTTGTCTGTATACACAATTCAAACCCTGATTAACAGAAAATGATGTTGCTTCTTTCAGTTTTTCTTTTCCTTTTCTGTTTCTAAACCATTTTGGGAATAATCTGCCGGTGCTATGGTATACATGCAAGTGGCATTCTAATATGGGAACTTAGTCTTGTACTTATTTTACATGTACAGAAAGAAGGTGAATCATCAGATATGGAAAAAGGTGCAGTTAAGGCTGTTCAAGATCTATATGATGTTATCCGTCATGATTTTCTATCTATTGATATGAGGTATATGTCAAGCTTGTATGTACTGATTATTCATGAAAAAATGTCTTTAAACCCTTATTACACGGCTCTCTTATATTTTCCAGTAAAAACTATGAAACATGGAATTTGTTGTCAAAAGCAAGGACAGAAGGTCGTCTCTTTACGAAGATAAAGTGGCCCAAAGACACTGAGCTGGTATGTTCAGGCAGTTTTTCTTGTTTCTCTATATATTTACTCGTCATTTCTCCACGAGATGTAGTAATTAAGGAAGACGTGCAGAGATCACAGGTGAAAAGACTCCATTCATTGCTAACCATCAAAGATTCAGCTGCAAATGTTCCAAAAAATCTGGAGGCTAGACGTAGGCTGCAATTTTTTACAAATTCCCTTTTCATGGACATACCTATGGCAAAGCCTGTTAATGAGATGCTCTCCTTCAGGTAGCACTTGCTTCATATCTATTTCATCATGATTGTATTGGTCATTGAATCTTGTGCTCATCCTCTTTTATGCCCATCCTTATGCAGTGTATTTACGCCGTATTATTCGGAGATTGTGCTTTATAGTATGAATGAACTTCTGAAGAAAAATGAGGATGGAATATCCATATTGTTTTACCTCCAAAAAATATTCCCAGGTACATTTATTCAGGAAACCAACAAGCAGTATATTTATGTTTTTTGTTTCCTTAGTTGTGTTGCTGCCTATGGTGATCTTTAGAGGTTTATCCTTAGCTTAAAAAGATGGTTGAAAAGCTGGTCAGCTTCATTTCTGTTAGTGATCTAGCCATATTGTCTTTTCCTGTTTCATATGTTGATGGAGCTTATCATTTTTAGTTGTCATTTTGCGGAATCCTTCCTTATCCATGTCTCTTAGATTTATACATCTTGTGCAGATAGAATGTAGTTGCTCAAAGGGCTTCTTGCGTTATGGTACTAATCATGATGCTATTATGCATGCAGATGAGTGGAAAAATTTTCTTGCTCGAATTGGCCGTCATGAAAATGCACATGAATCAGAACTTGCTGATAGTCCTAGTGATATTTTGGAGCTTCGGTTTTGGGCCTCTTACAGGGCTCAAACCTTGGCCAGAACTGGTAGATGTTTTCACCATGTCAATTTCTTTGTTTACACTTGAACGTTTTATTATGTTAACCAGTTTTCTTTGTTCTTAATAGTCTCCATATTCTATTTTTATTTCGTATATTGACCATTTCTGTATGTTCTTATTTGTATTTATATTTTATCTTAGAAAAATTGAATTTCTTGGTAGTGCTGTCACCTTTTTGTTTATTTTATTTTATATTTGAATTTCTGTAAATTACTTCCGTGTTTATATAATCATATCATCAGGCAACCGTTGTAACATATTTTGAAAAATATTTCTTATATAACAAGGTTATTTCCTCTCTCTGAAAATGCTTTCTAGTGGAAGCATTTTTTTTTTCCCCTACTGTCTTTTCTTGTTTTCCCATCTAGATGCTGCTTTTATAGTTGGTTATGACATATTTGTCATCATTTTTCATTTATATTTACTATTATTTTTCTTGTTGCTGCTGCTGTTAACCATTTAATATGGCACGAGTGAATACATTTCATTATTTTAGTTTTGGGTCCTAAATAATCGAGTGTGATTTTTGCAGTTCGTGGGATGATGTACTATAGGAAAGCTCTTATGCTTCAGACCTATTTGGAGAGACTAAATTCTGGAGGTTAGTAACGTTTTTTTTTTTTTGAATATATTATTTTGCATTGTCACTTTTTTTTTTTTTAAAGGGATTTTGCATTGTCATTTATGTCATCCTGTAGTGGCAACTTCAGATTTGGAGGCTGCAATTTCCAGTAGTGATGCAACTGATACCCAAGGTTTTGAGTTATCTCCTCAAGCGCGGGCTCAGGCAGATCTAAAGTTTACATATGTTGTAACTTGTCAAATATATGGTAAACAGAAAGAGGATAAAAAACCTGAGGCTGCTGACATTGCCTTGCTTATGCAAAGGTAAATTCCTTCCCCCCTTCATCATCCTGTTATCAAATTCGTATATTACTTAATAGCTTGACACCTATATGGTCATAGTAGTTCTATATGCTAAAAGATTGTGGTAACCGTTCTATATCTAATCTACTGACAGAAATGAAGCACTTCGTGTCGCATTTATTGATGATGTTGAAAGTCTTACGGAGGGTAAAGTGCACACTGAATACTACTCAAAGCTCGTTAAGGGTGATATCAATGGGAAAGACAAGGTGGGTCGTTTTTACTTTTGTGCGTTGATATCTGTGCACCCACTGGATTGTTTGTTAGATTATAACTTGCAATTTTCTCATTTGATTCAATGGCTACCACTGAATATGTGTTTTTTTAATCTACAATCCCATTAAAACATATATCTTAGTCTCAAAAAAAAACTAGTTTTCCATATAGTACTAGATGTTACATAGATAAAATTACTCTCAGTGCCTGTATGGCGCAGTGTGTTATGCTGTCGTTAGTTTTGTATCTCCTATAATGCAATTACTATTGAGTAGTTGCGTTTTCTTTTTTATTTTTATTCTTTTTTGTGTTCTTTTTCTCTCTTCTTTTTCCCTTACCTTATAAATGGCAGCTTTTTGAGTAAATTTTTTCGTACATTAGAATGTCTTATGGATCATGTTTGAAGTGTTGATAATTCTATTTGTAGCTTTATCTAGTTTTGCATTATTTTTTTTCCCTTTTGCTTTATAATATATTATTTTTAATTTGTACTTTGTGTTCATTGATGCTTACTTATTTTCTGTTGACGATTTGTTGTGTTACAGGAAATCTATTCCATAAAATTACCTGGAAATCCAAAACTTGGAGAAGGAAAACCCGAGAATCAAAACCATGCAATTATATTTACTCGTGGAAATGCAATTCAGACAATTGACATGAATCAGGTGACCACCATATCCCTTGGGTTCACGTTGTTCTTACACGAGTTAAAAGTGATCGAGGGAACGGGAGATGTACTCTGCTTCTAAAAGTCTTTTCTGGAGTGTGATATTATTTGTAGACCATGAGCAGGCTTAATTATTCCTATTAATTGATGTTTCAGCTAACAGTTTGCTATGCATCTACATTCTACTTTGCTTATTGTTTTAGAATCATACCTTGTGTTTTCCGATGATGGGAAAAGTTTTCTTATTAAAAGTATGATTCTAAAACAATTTGTAGAGTAGATGAATAGCAAACTTCCTTAGCTGAAACATCAATTCCTAAGAACTAATCTTATTTGCTTAGCTTCAAATGTTTCTTTTAGGGTTAGAAATAACCGTGGCTGAAGGAAATTTCATTTAGATAATTTGATTTCTTTTCCATGCATTATTTCTTTAGGGTGCAATATCATAGCTGCTGTAGGAAAATGCGTTGTAAAAGTTTTGAGTACTCTTTTGTTTTGGTTTTTTTTTTTTTTTTTCTGGCTGCACTTATGATTGATTTTTATCCATCAGGATAACTATTTTGAGGAAGCTTTGAAAATGAGAAATCTTCTCGAGGAATTCCATCGTGATCATGGCATTCGCCCTCCAACAATTCTTGGTGTTCGGGAACATGTATTTACTGGAAGGTAATTTTCGTTTCATCATTATGAGTTTCCGTTCTCTGATCTGACACACTGCTTCTTCATACTGATTATAATGATCATGTATCATCTTCAGTGTCTCTTCTTTAGCCTCATTCATGTCAAATCAGGAAACAAGCTTTGTAACACTAGGTCAACGCGTTTTAGCAACTCCTTTGAAGTAAGTTTATTTTGATCATGCCCTTCTTTCATCTTCTCTCTGGGTCTTTGAAACTCTGTTCATTTAGAAATGATGTTCTACATAACGTTCAGGGTCCGTATGCATTATGGCCATCCAGATGTTTTTGATAGAGTATTCCATATCACACGGGGTGGTATCAGCAAGGCATCTCGTATTATCAACATCAGTGAAGATATATTTGCTGGTAATGGTTTTTTATTTGTAAGATTGCCAGTTGCTGTTCTGTTTATCCTTCTGTTGTGAACTTCATCATCCGCATTCCGTGCGTGTAATTGATTTGTTCATTGAAAGGTTGTTTATTTAAAAGAAGAAAGAAAAAGAAAGAAAGAAAGAAAGATTGTGAGTTGATGTTATTAGTATTATAGCATCTTTCTACATTTTATGCCAATAGGATGATGGTTTTCAGTTTAGATGTATTGGTCTGGTGTCTATGATTTGCATCTTATGGATAGTTGCTAAAATGGTGGTGTGGTAGCTTGTTGGGAACGAAAGGAGTTGTCAAAGGTGTTCAAGTTAGGAGGTCTTTAATGCATTAACAAGTCTGCACTATTTGCATTCATTAACAACTTTGCGACTTTAATCTAAATAAAATTATTTATTTGGAGTAAAATGCAAGTCGACTTAAGTTTTTTTTTTTTTTTTTTTTTTTTTTTTTTTTTTTTTTTTTTTCTTTCTTCTTACAATTTTGATGTTGAAATGAAGGATTTAATTCAACCTTGCGCCAAGGAAACATAACCCATCATGAGTATATTCAGGTAAGGTTGTTCATTTCGTCAGACACATATATGGGACGTGAGTTTCTAATAATGATTTACAGGTTGGCAAGGGACGAGATGTTGGGCTCAATCAGATTGCTCTATTTGAAGGAAAAGTTGCTGGTGGAAATGGTGAACAAGTTCTTAGTCGTGATGTGTACAGGCTTGGTCAGCTGTTTGATTTCTTTCGGATGATGTCATTCTACTTTACCACTGTTGGCTACTACTTTTGTACCATGGTAGGAATTTTATGTTACGTTAACATTTTTTTTTTCTTTTTTTTTGGTGATTGATTGTGGTTATATGATGGTTCCATGTCACAAGCTATTGAAGTCTCGGCTTTTTAAAGGGCTAATACTCAGTGGATTCTGTGTCTACGAATTGCTCAATTTTTTTTTTCTTTGGTTGAGGAAACAAGTAGTGTTGTTTCAAGTTGTGCTGGACATCTTTTGGGTAATTTTAGGTTGGAAGCCACGCTAGAATATTTCAGGATAAGTTTCTGGAGGTTTCTCTCTAATGTTATGAAATAAACTTCTGCCATATTTGTGAGCTTCCGCTCCCAAAGATTTTGTATTTAGGAGGATATGAGCTTTCCCTGAATCTTTTGTTCCGTTCTTTGTTGTTTAATAATATTTCTCTTCTGGTTTAGAGATAATCAAAAAAGGATCATGTTCATTATTTTGTTCTTTTTTGAATAACATATAGCAAGATGCTTTAGATTATGCTACCAATGTCTAATATTTTCACAAGTTAAATCATTTTTGAATGACCATGATGTAACAGAACCTGTTTTGTTTGTACTTCTGATTGACCTCTGGATCTTCATGCCATTATCTACTGATATGAACCTTTCATTCTTGTGCAGTTGACAGTGCTGACTGTTTACATTTTCCTCTATGGGAAAACATATTTGGTAAGTTAGATTGCACTAGTTCTATATGCTATTTACTATGTCGTCAATGGATAAGAATATCTCCATCCGTGGAATCCATTTAGTCTGTTGGGTATAATCCTTATTTACGTTCATTCAAGTGTATTTACTGTACACCAGAGGAGTTTAAAAGTGTCAATGTTATATGGCAGTTTCCTCGTCTACCAGGAATTGCAGGAAAGAATCAAGTGTAACTTGTGGGTCTTTCATTTTACGTGGGATTATATGTGTCCATGTGGTGTTTTATTTTGCAAAATGGTCTAACTAGCACTGTGAAAGTTCTTTGATGGTAGCGGTGGGATTATACATATGTACATGTATGAAGTGCTACCTTTAAGCTAATATCTCGTGTCGCAAAATGAAAAACATGAAACTTATATCGGTGTAGATTTTAGCGGTGTGTTATGTTTTGATGCTATCATATTTTTGTGCACGTGACAATGAGACATGTTCTTATTTCAGGCGTTGTCTGGAGTTGGTGAAACCATTCAAATTAGAGCTAGGATTTTGGACAACACTGCACTTACTACAGCCCTGAATACGCAATTTCTCTTTCAAATTGGTATCTTCACTGCTGTGCCGATGGTTTTAGGTTTCATCTTGGAACAGGGTTTCTTGAGGGTAAATATCTGCTCTCCATTGTGTTTCAACATCCTTTTTTTCTCTCCATTGATATATTGTTGTTCCTGAATAAAATATGTATCTTATCTTTGGTTATTATGTCGAGGTTCAATCAATGTTGATGGTGTATGGCTATATGCTATTCAATATGGGTGTGTGAGAATAAGTTCTTATTTTCAAGTTTGGAGCGGTTTAGTTTTTTCTTCTCTATATTCTTCTTTGGTTATTAATGGAAAATTTCTGTGTTACCTGTCACACTTTCTTTTTGTTTCCTGCTGCAGGCTGTAGTCAGTTTTGTAACTATGCAGTTGCAGCTTTGTTCTGTCTTCTTCACATTCTCTCTGGGCACACGAACACATTATTTCGGTCGCACTATTCTTCATGGTGGTGCACGGGTTCGTTTTCTTGCTTTTTTGGTCATCTTCACATTCCTGCATAATGACTTTCTTTGGTTATTGACATTAATTCTTTTTACTCTTTGACAGTATCAAGCAACTGGGAGGGGATTTGTGGTCAGGCACATCAAATTTTCAGAGAATTACAGGCTTTACTCACGCAGTCATTTTGTCAAAGGGTATTGATATCTCTATCTATCTATATGAATACATATGCATAAATGTGCGTACTATCTGTCTATCTGAGGATGTCAAGGTCCCTAAATGATCTTATTTTAGGCAGAATTATTCTTTGATATTGTTTTGTGAAAGTAGCATTTTCATGATTGGAGGAGAAGGGAAAGCAGTAAACCTTAAATACCCAAGGGTTATGTAATCTTTTTTTTTTAAATTATTTTCCAAAATAATCCTTTTGGAGCAATTTCCAGTGATTTTTATTTTTTATTTTTTAACATGCTAAAAGATGAAATAATCATTTTGCTTCATCCTTGTCATCAGATTGGAAGTGGTGCTTTTATTGGTGGTATACCTTGCATATGGATATAATGAAAGCGGTGCAATTGGATACATTCTTCTTTCTATCAGCAGTTGGTTTATGTCTCTTTCTTGGCTTTTTGCTCCTTATTTGTTCAATCCATCTGGGTTTGAGTGGCAGAAGTAAGCAATTGCTTTAATTTGTTTGTTCTCCAAATGGCGGTGCCAGATTACCTCAATAACCCTTCATTCTGACCTTGTAGGACGGTGGAGGATTTCCGTGATTGGACAAACTGGCTTCTTTATAGAGGTGGAATTGGAGTTAAGGGAGCAGAAAGCTGGGAAGCTTGGTGGGATGAAGAACTGGTACTAATTTTGATCCCAGACCAATTTTTCCCATTGAATATTTATCTGGACATTTTCGTTTTGAAATTTGTCGTTGCATGTAGTAGTCCTTGTTTCTCTTCAGTTATTATTTAGAACTATTAATTGTTACTTAACTTTGTCGACGTTATCTCTTTATTAGTGCCATTCCTCTCCGAACATTGATCTCTCAATGATTGATTTTTCCTTTGTTTAATAGTGAACTTCCAATGATCAATTTTTTTCTGAGCGGCAACTGGTGGAGCTTTCTTGGAAAATCAGAAATTTGATATTCTGATTATAGATCATCATTTTGAGATTTCATTAAAAAGAACGTTTATGAAAATTTCAGTTAAGGGAACAAGAATTTTTTATGGGGAAATAATTTGAATTTGAGAAATCTAGGGATCTCTTTACTATGATTTAGTGAACGTTCTATTTATTCGATGTTGTGGGCATACACCCTGTTCTGATTATACTAAATGAATTCACCTTCCTGGCTTTCCTTTTGCTGTGAGTTTGGCTTTATTATCTTGTTTTGATTATGCCTACTTGCCAGTGTTAACGTATTGATTTTTTTTTTTTTTTTTTTGGCTAATGAATTGACATGTTGATTTGCAGTCACATATTCGGACCCTGGAAGGAAGGATTGTTGAGACTATTTTGAGCCTAAGATTTTTTATCTTCCAATATGGTGTTGTGTACAAACTAGATGTGCAAGGATCAGATAAATCATTGACGGTAGCACCTCTCTTTATGAGTATAAATGTTTCTTGCTTTATCATGGCATCCCGTTTATTTTTGCCAGACTGCCAGTAATTGCTAATGTGTACTGTAAATCTTATAACTTTTAGTTCTTCGCATACTCTTCTATCGTCCATCTGTATGCATCTTCATTCAATTGTTTGCTCTCTCTTCGTAACTTGATTAGGTTCTTCAAGCCACCATTACCCCACTCAAGCTTTGCAAAATGTGAAAGTTTATTGAGCATTTCTTTTTCTTTTCTTTTTTTTTTCTCAAACTAGAGACTCATAAACTCTTGCAAAATTTCAAGTCATTTTGTGTTCAATACTCCAAAAATATATTTCTACTTGCACAAGGGATTTTGAAAGGTAAGTTATGCTATGGCCAAAATGCCACATTATCTACGGCTTTCTGTGGGACGGTCTTCAATTGGTTTCATACTAATTTCAGTGCGCACACAGTTGTCTCACTGTTCGTTGTATGTCTGTAGGTCTACGGCCTCTCTTGGATTGTGTTAGCAGTTCTAATAATTCTTTTCAAGGTGCAATTTGGACTTAAAAAGTACAAAATATTCATTTATAGTTTAAGATATATGCTTCATTCCAATTTGAATCTTCCTTTGCTTTGATTTCCCAGGTGTTCACCTTTAGCCAGAAAATATCTGTTAATTTCCAGCTGGTGCTGCGTTTCGTCCAAGGTGTTTCCTTCTTGATGGCGCTTGCTGGCCTAGCTGTTGCAATTATACTTACAGACTTGACGGTTTCAGACATATTTGCTTGCATCTTAGCATTTGTACCTACTGGATGGGGAATTCTTTCTGTGAGTTTTCTCTTCTTTAATCATTCTCTCTTTTTCTCTGAATTCTTACTATTTCTGCTTATGCTCCTTTAGCAAGTGTCCTGCAAACCTGCTTTATTGCCGGATTAATTTTGGTGATTAGCTGCATTTAGGATATCAACTTGCATTCCGGGTATTTGTTCATTTGGGCAAAATGCGCACATCTGACAGTTAATCATGCGTTGCGTCTTGCTTAAGATTTGAACATTGTTCCCATGCGTTGTCGTTGTACATTGCAAGGAACTTCTCTTCCGCCTTAGTATTCACGTTTTTCTCCAATGATTTCCAGATTGCTGTCGCTTGGAAGCCTCTGCTGAAGAAAATGGGGCTATGGAAATCCATCCGATCCATCGCTCGCTTATATGATGCTGGCATGGGGATGCTTATATTTGTACCCGTCGCATTGCTCTCGTGGTTCCCATTCGTCTCAACGTTCCAAACCCGACTCATGTATAATCAAGCTTTCAGCCGGGGGTTGGAGATCTCTCTTATCCTTGCTGGGAACAATGCCAATTCTGGGATATGAGAAAAATTACCATATTTCTTATATTGTTGGAAGTAGAGTCGTCTTATTCTCTTGGAGCTCAACCTGAACTCTCAGGACTGTAAATTTTTGTTGTAGCAAATCCAAATCTATTTGGGACCGAGAAGTGACACCCGTTGACCATTGTGAATAGCTAGGTGTCATTTTATTACACTTATCCGATAATTTGCTCACGTAGGTAAATAGGTATTCTCATGTTATTGTTGTATAATTATTTTTGTGGCAAATCGATCCGCTCTATAAACCAACTGAAATTTCTGTGATGAAAATGCCTAATGAAAGTTTCAAGGATAATCCGCTCTCTTTGAGAAGATGTTGTGGGTCAGTGTCATTATTTGTACAAGACCTCTTTTTGTTTGTCCTCGTTTTAGTGTTCTTTTCTTTCGGCTGTTTTGAGGACACAATTTAGTATGGTTATACGACAAGTTTTATTTTATTTATTTATTTATTTTTTTGTAAATAAAGTTTTCGTCCCTTAAAATATAGTCAATGCGGGCTACATTGTACGAGTAATTGTCATCTTCTAAAAAAAAGTTTAAAGTGATCGTCTGCCTTATTCGATTCTCTGGCTAATGAGACATGGTACGTATCTAGATGTGGTTTTATGTGATGTTACTAATAAATACGGGTGGTTCACAAGTCCCTGCAAGTTAGTGTAATATATTTCTATATCTATTAGAGATGCGTCCCTCCATAAATATGTGAACCTTTAAAAAAGAAAAAAAAAATGCATTGGTGTTGGGTTTCTATTTGTAAATATTCACATGTGGGACGCTTTCTACCTAATTTTGAGCATCCCCGATGGCAAAACTGCTTTGTTTCAACTCTGTTGGCTTGGGTTTGTTATCATCAACTTAACGCCAGAAGACAGGCTACGAGTTACTTTTCGACCTATACTAAAACACGCACACACTAAAATTAAAAGTAGTAATTTTCATGGAACAAAATATTGGGTTCTTATTATCAAACTTGTGCAAAAGAGCCAAAAACTATTTCGTCAAATGGTATGGGGATTAGAACTTGAGTTTAGGAAGGGACAATATGCCATTGGAACTTTTGAGTTCAGGAAGGGACAATTATGTATTGTGGGCGCAAAAGAAAAAAGAAAAGAAAAAGAGATGTCTCATTTAACATATTATCTTATCTAGGTTGTAGATTAAGGTACTTTTTCTTTTTGCTAATGGTAGATCAGGAGACCACATCACTTTTATTAATCCATCAATTAATGTCCAGAATCTTGTAGCACCAAGGTCACACCCAAAAAATTGACAAAAAAAAGCATAATGAACACACTAACCAAACACATGACAAATGCACAGACAAACTGAATTGCCTGAAGAAGTTGACTATAAAGAGGTGATGCCTTTATAGAGCAGGGTAGCTAGAGGTGAGAGATGGCTGTATGCCAATTAATATTGCTTTGCTCTAGCTCTGCCTCTTTGAGCTCACTAGCCAAGGCACGTAAAGAGAAAAGGGGGGAAAACAACTACAAAGCTTTTAGTAGGGAGCCAATTTTCACCGTCCGATACAACACGAAAAGATTGGACATAGAATACAAAAAATATTACTTTCAGCATGTTATTTGTGCACCATACACACAACTCAATGTAATTGCAGAATATGATACTTCTGATATCATCAAATGCGCCACAACACCATAAATGAAATCTTAATTATGTTGATATTTAATATATATATATATATATATATATATTAATAACACAAAGTGCAAGGTAAGAATTATATTTGAAAAAAAAAAAAAAGGAAAGGAAGGGTGCATGTTACGGAACTAAGGATCCTTCTTAAGAGCCTAATGGAAAGGGATCAATTTGTTGAGGATCGTTTCTTGGGACTTTTTCTCAAATTTCATAAAGACAAGGGCTTGCAAATTGCGCGTATCATGTTTGGAATCGTTTTAAAAACGGATTGCACGTATTTCAAAAATAAAAAATAAAAATGAAAATAAAACGACGTTTGTTTAACAAATATTTTAAAAATAAAAATAGTGAAAATATTTTTTGTGAAGGAGTTATAAAACAATTGAAAGTTATTTTTATTTTTTAGTACTTATTAATAATATTATAATATATTAATTAATAAATAAGATTTTACTTTTTTATTATACTCAAAACAATCTTTTAAAAAATCAACTAAACATAATTTCAGAATCGGTCTCAAAATGATTTTCAAAACAATATCATTTTTACTTTCTATTAAAAATAAAATCATTTTAAAACCAATTCCAAACGCACCTGATATGTTAGCTTAGGACTTGTTCATTTGCATTTTTTGAGTTAAAGTGATTTAAGTTCATATCTTAATTTGAGTTAAGGTGTATTTGATTATGGTTTGAGTTTGAATTCTAATTTGAGTTTGTGTTTAAATGTCCACATTTTGAGTTATGGTTTGAATAGAGAATCTATTTGAGTTTGTGTTTGAATGATATTTTAATAATAAGTCAATGGTGATGAAAAAATTTAATAGGATATATGCGTAAAATTTTATTCGTCCCTTCGATGTGAGCGCATAGAAAAAAAATCATCTCAATTGAAATTAAAATGAAAAAGTTATGACGTTTTTAAAAATAGAAAAAATATATTATTTATTAATTTAATTTGAGTTTAAAAACTTGAGTTGAATAGATAATTTAAACTCGATTTTAATTATAAATTCAAATTAAAACTTAAATTTAAACTTAAATTATAAAAAAAAAATATGAATTTAAATAAAATTATAATTTAAATTTAAATTTTCTTTTGAGTTTGGGTGTAAATGAGAGAAGCCACCCTCATCAAGGTCAAAAGTGAAAAGCTCCCCAATATGCTTTTCAAGTCCGACTCGGATCCCTAGACAAGATAGGCATCTTTAATCCGAGCCGTCCATTACTCGGTTGTAAATCCAACCGCCTATGGAAAGGAAGGGGGCATGTTACGGAACTAAGGATCCTTCTTAAGAGCCTAATGGAAAGGGATCAATTTGTTGAGGATCGTTTCTTGGGACTTTTTCTCAAATTTCATAAAGACAAGGGCTTGCAAATTGCGCGTATCATGTTTGGAATCGTTTTAAAAACGGATTGCACGTATTTCAAAAATAAAAAATAAAAATGAAAATAAAACGACGTTTGTTTAACAAATATTTTAAAAATAAAAATAGTGAAAATATTTTTTGTGAAGGAGTTATAAAACAATTGAAAGTTATTTTTATTTTTTAGTACTTATTAATAATATTATAATATATTAATTAATAAATAAGATTTTACTTTTTTATTATACTCAAAACAATCTTTTAAAAAATCAACTAAACATAATTTCAGAATCGGTCTCAAAATGATTTTCAAAACAATATCATTTTTACTTTCTATTAAAAATAAAATCATTTTAAAACCAATTCCAAACGCACCTGATATGTTAGCTTAGGACTTGTTCATTTGCATTTTTTGAGTTAAAGTGATTTAAGTTCATATCTTAATTTGAGTTAAGGTGTATTTGATTATGGTTTGAGTTTGAATTCTAATTTGAGTTTGTGTTTAAATGTCCACATTTTGAGTTATGGTTTGAATAGAGAATCTATTTGAGTTTGTGTTTGAATGATATTTTAATAATAAGTCAATGGTGATGAAAAAATTTAATAGGATATATGCGTAAAATTTTATTCGTCCCTTCGATGTGAGCGCATAGAAAAAAAATCATCTCAATTGAAATTAAAATGAAAAAGTTATGACGTTTTTAAAAATAGAAAAAATATATTATTTATTAATTTAATTTGAGTTTAAAAACTTGAGTTGAATAGATAATTTAAACTCGATTTTAATTATAAATTCAAATTAAAACTTAAATTTAAACTTAAATTATAAAAAAAAAATATGAATTTAAATAAAATTATAATTTAAATTTAAATTTTCTTTTGAGTTTGGGTGTAAATGAGAGAAGCCACCCTCATCAAGGTCAAAAGTGAAAAGCTCCCCAATATGCTTTTCAAGTCCGACTCGGATCCCTAGACAAGATAGGCATCTTTAATCCGAGCCGTCCATTACTCGGTTGTAAATCCAACCGCCTATCGAATCCCTCGGCTCCTATAAAACGATCCGTAAGGACATCTGCGCACCATTTTAACGGCAACAAGGAAAAAATCAAGATTCGTTTTCGATTCGCGCTTTCCAGATTTCTAGAGAGAGAAGTCAGGTTTTCTTTGCTGTTTTCCTAGAAAATTCGAGAAGTTATAATCACGGAGGTTTAAGATTAACCCTGGATAAACGAAAGTTGGGGGTTCTGATCTTTTAGTTGTTCGAATTAGGGTTAATTTAGGATCTAAGATTACGATTCTTGATCTCGCGTGCGACTTTTGATTCTGATTTTAGAGATAGAGACGCGTCGAAATTTTAGGTTTTAGGGTTTGGATTTGGGGGAAACCATGAACGATCAGTCGCAGATGATGAATCAAGCGCAGATGATGGGGATGAGCAATGCTCAGGTGATGAGCCAGCCGCCGATGATGAATCAGCCGCCGATGATGAGCCAGCCGCCGCAGATTATGAGCCAGCCTCAGATGATTGGCTCGATTGCTCAGTCGTCTCAGCCGCAGATGATGATGAGCCAGTCGCAGGCCATGGCGCCTCAGCCGCAGCAGCCTCAGTTGATGATGATGACGAGCCAGTCTCAGCCGCCGATGATGAACAGGGGCTACAAAGCGTGGTTGCAGCCGCAACAGCCTTCCATGGACCCTAACAAGAAGTTCCAGGGCTCGATGAAGCCTAACTTTGCGGCCTCCAAGCCCGGAAGGAACAATTGGAAGGGGAAAAAGGGTACCGACAAGCGACAAGACCTTAGGAGGATTGAAAATCTCGCTCCTAATCCATCCATGAGCGGTACGACCAGTAGTGGAGGAGGGTATATACCCCCGACTCTTCACGAATTGCAGTCACAAAACCGATTAAAAGCGCGTAAATTTTACCCCAAGAAGAAGTTTAACAATAGGTTTGCGCCTTATGCGCCTAGGAACACAACGTCGTTTATAATCCGGGCGAAGAAATCAGGCGGTATTGCTTCTCTGGTTTCGCCTTGCCCTGTGACACCGGCAGTGCTTCCTACGCCCATATTCTCTCCCTCTAGGGAGGTGTTGGGAGATATGGCAAAAGAGGAGTGGGGTGTCGATGGCTACGGGTCGATGAAAGGGTTGATTAGGCTGCGTTCGCCAGGGAATGAGGACGAGGAGGAAGAGGAAGGCGGTGGCGGTTCGAGTGAAAGTGATGTGGAAGAGCATGTTGAGGTGGAGAGGAGGTTGGACCATGATTTGAGCCGCTTTGAGATGATATACCCAAATTACAGCGGGATGGAATACAACAATGTTTTGGAGAATAGAGTGGATGATCAGGACACCCATATAGCTCAATTGGAGGAGGAAAACTTAACTTTGAAGGAGAGGCTTTTCTTGATGGAGAGGGAGTTGGGGGATTTAAGGAGGAGGTTGCAGTTTCTTGAGAGGCAGAACCACATGGTGGGAGATGTTCATGAGGAGGTGGTAGAGAATGAGTCTGAAAACGACAGTGAGGGTGGATCAGGTGCTCCTGATATGTGTCTGAGTGGTAAGAACCATGAGGAGGTGGTTGAGTGTATGTCTGGACAAGAAGGAAGTAAGGATGCTGAGGTGGAGTCTAAGAAGGAGCAGGATGATAACGGTGCGCCGGAGATTGAATGCACAGGGGACGTTTGTATGGAAGATTTGGAACATCATGAAGTGAATGCTCAGCAAAAGGAGGACATTTATTTGGAACACCATGAAGTGAATGGTCAGGAAAAGGAGGATTTCAATTTGAAACATTATGAAGTGAATGCTCAGGAAAAGGAGGACATTAATTTGGAACACCATGAAGTGAATGCTCAGGAAAAGGAGGACGTTAAGGGTGAGGAATTGAGGAATGAGATGAATGTTGTGAAAGATGAGATCAAAGAGGAGGAAGTAAAGATCGAGAAGAAAGCAGATGAAGTAATAACGGGCAATGAGGATTCTTCCAATAGTGAAGAACCGAGAACAAGCTCTTAAAAGTGGGAAGTGGGTGAAGAGAAGAATGAGGAAATGAGGATTTCTTGGTCAGAAAAGAGCATTGGTGACAATGATTAAGATTTCCCACATTAGCGTAAGTCGCTTCACTGAACAGATAACCCTTGGGAATATTTTCGTTTCGAACTGGACATATGCCTTTTAGCTAGATGAGGATCACATTTTCTTTCTGTTTTTCTCTTTATGTCCCCTTGTCCGTTTGGGAAACTAGTTGAAGAACTGAACTGGCCTTGTTCATCACTCGTTAGCCTCGCTCTGCTATGACAATAATGCTAGGGGAATAAACATTCTAGGTTTTATTTTGTATTAGGGTCTTTTTTTTTTTGTGGGGTTGGGTATGGCTATTGTTAAGGTTCATATATCTGTATGTGGTGTTCATTTTCTTGCTATGAACTTCTAACGAACCTGTGAAAATTGTAATGTATATCTAATAGCCATGATGTACGGATTTCTCCCTTTTTTGCCTAATGTCAGTCTAACTTCTTTTTAATGTGTTTCCTTGTTAACAATTTGCACTTTTTCATTATGTATTATTGTAATTGAGGCCAAGTACTTGATCTGCATTTGAACACTGTATTTAATATTTATGTTTTGAATTTTACAGGTGCGATAACCCTGATCCGATAAATGTACTCTTCTATTGGTTTGGCTTTATCTACCATGCATCAATTTACGTAATATCTTAATCTTTCTTGTGTCGTTTTTTTTTTTCCCCTAGTGTGATTGATGGTCTGAGCAAGAAGAGAAGCTCTTTTGAAGATCTAGGTAAGACGGGTAAGTATGCAATTGTTTTGTTTTGTTTTTTTTTGTTTTTTTCTGGCGTTGTTGACAGAGTCTAGCTGAGCTAAAATAAAATTTTGGCCCTTGCTAGTAACTTGGTGAGAGATACTCTTGTTGCTACTTGGATAACATGGCAATATGGATAGAGTTGGTAGAGTCGACTCTTTGGATAAGATGAGGATTGAGGATTACACGAACTAAAGTATGTTGGACCGTTTTGATATTGCCTTATGAATTTTAGTCGCCCATTTTGAATTTGAGTTTAACACACGATTTAGAAATGTTCCCTCGTAATTTTCATTTGTATTTTTAGCTGTATGCGGGATCTCGGCGTCTACTTTGGGGATATCCTTGTCTCTCATCATCTGAGGACGGTTTTAAGCGTGGTGCTCGAGATTTCCATCACTAAGTGCGTGCTTTGTACTCATGCCCAAGTGTTGGTGATCAGCGCCTTGGAGTGGAAAATTGAACATATGGAAGCAATAAGGTTTCTATGGGTGGCTACCATGGGAAGTACTAGATCGTTAGCTGATGGAGCTGTTGAGAAATTCGGGTAAGAAGGTTGAAGAAAAGGAACAAGTGTAACTTGTATTTTCCTTCTCATGGGATGGGTGTTCGTAGGCATCATGAGCTTCATTTTATGCTCAATTGTTGTGAAACCACGACGACTAACCAAAATTCCAAAGGAAACAGCCGCAGGAAACGCCCTAGTGAAAAATGTTATTTTTTTAGATTTCTAGATCACCTGCCATTGCAGAGGACTTTTATTTCTTTACACCAGACTAAAGTTAATTTGGTTTTGATGGTGATAGCTGAAAACAACAAAAGTAGGTAGTGGTTGAAAAGTTGGAAGGCTGATGGAGGAATTCATCCATTTTCAACCGTCATTTGCTTACTGTGGACCCATCAATCGCCATGTACAGACGAAGCTTGTAAAAATGAAGATTAGATTCTGATTTAAGTTATTCTTTGGTGAGTTGTCGCGTTCAGGGTTGGGTTTACCCTTATCTGTGTCAATTACTTCATGATTCATTATAGTATTTATCGCAAATTGAACGAGTCATCTTTTGCTTTAGGCGAGATTGTTTATATTCGATGGACGGCTTACTCTATATCCAATCACTTTTAGAAGAAATAACAAGAATAAAAGTCGAATAAGTAATTAGTCAGAAAATAATTCAGCTTCGTAAAATAATTGTGAATGCGTGTATTATTAATATATTTACCGAATTTAAAGCAATAACAAACTGGCCATGTGTGCAAGTAGCAGAAGGAGTGGGGCTAGAGAACTAAAAATTAGAACATATTGACCTTAACAGCAGACGTTGAGTCACTCATTGATCAGAATCTCATCAACTTCTTCATCTCTGAATACCTTCTTTTAGGATAAAAATGAAAAATGTTCCAGGTATGCGTTCTGGTCCGCATGCCAGAAGCATAATCAAATTCCTTCCAACTTTCTTTCTTTTTTTTTTTTTTTTTAATTTTAAATAAGGGCTTCTCCTCAAAAAGATAAAATCGCATCCGCCAAAAAGAAAGGACAGATCTTTAGGGCGAAAAGTTGACCTCTTTTTGCAACTGTAGACTATGCTATTTGCATTCTGCTATTAGCGGTAGTCTAGTCAATGTCCGAATGAGAAATATTACCTTGTCTCGTCTTGGCCTTACGCAAGATCATGAAAAGAAACCTTAGCACCCCCAATGACTCCTTGGACTTCAAAGTCATATAAACAACTTTTTTATTTTTATTTTTATTATATATTAATATATTATATATACAGGGTGAGGGTTTATGACTCTATTTTACTTAAAAATGAAACCATCGTTACCACTTGACCTAGCATTAAGTGGCAATGATATAACAACTAATTGGTGAGGGTTTTGTGTTTGTGATGATCACTTCCCCAAGACTAGTCTAGATCTTTTCGAATAAGGTGTACTGGAAAAAAAAAAAAAAAAACGTTTGAATATTACAAGTTGATACAAGCCTATTACTACACGAATTTCTCTCCATGTACACTTATTTAAGTATAATGTAGGTTTCAATGATACTAAATCTTCAGCTCAATATGTTTCTTTATCATTTTACCTCATTTCTTCTTCGATCCATCGGTCCTTAAATGAACAAAAACGATTTTATTGTACCCTCTGGTAATTCTGATCTTGTCATCGCTATATCTGCAACAAATAATATGTCAACACGATTAGAAAAATAAACAAAAATTAGTAAATATCATGAAAAATGGTAATTTAAGATCGAGGGGCTCTCACAGCAGTTCGAGATTGAACTTGCTTTCAAGCTCCAAAGGATAGCCAAATCCTCCGCCAATTATGGCAGCATCATCCATAGTGACGTCGTATGTGTTTGCGCTTGATTTCCTGTTGACAAAAAAAAAAAAATGAAAACATGAAAATCAGAGCCAACCAACACATTACACAATGTACCATAGTCAAGCAAAAACAAATCCTTAAATAGAGGATCTAGAAGTAAGATCTACTGATTACGTAAATAAAAGGAAACTTACACAAATGTGCCAACCATGGAAAACTTGAGCCCAAGCAAGATGTCAACCACATACTTGATCTGACCATTCTTCACAATCTAATCGTTGCAACAAAAGATTTAGAGGCAAATTAGGCATTTAAGAAAATTTCTTTAAGTGCACGAACTAGTATTATGATATGTGGGAGATAGAAGTGCCATCTGTAGTTAATATACCTGCTTGCCCATAAGACCATTGGCAGCATTCTCCAACCAACTATCGGTCTCTGTCTGCATTATGCAAAGCGATTAATTTTGGTGAAACGACACAAAAATTGACCGCCTCAAGTGTACTTTTTCATCGTACTAGCATATTAAAAAATATCGTTGTAATATATTACCATATTCTCTGTATATTTACTTTCCTAAGTTAAGTGTAAATCAAAATCACACTAAAAGGAGATCACGGCTTCTAAGTCGTAGAAATAGGTAGAATTGATTATTTTTGTATATATATCGTGCACTGTTAATGAAATTGATAAGAAAACAGATTTCACCAAATTCTCCATTGTTCATTCTCTAAGCCTTTTATTATTTTAGATGGTATCAGAGCCTTCCTAGTGCTTGATTACTTTATCTTTTCAAAGCCATAACACGTCTGCAAACACTATGACAGATGCAAACCAAACTCCATCAGAAAAATCCCATTCAAAACATTCAAACACCAACAACGACAATTCCATTATGGATCCATCAAACCCCAACTTTATTCATCATTCAGATCATGCCGGTCACATGCTCGTCCCAACAAAATTGAATGGCGCCAATTATCCATCATGGAGTAAATCCGTGATTCATGCTCTTACAGCCAAGAACAAAATCAGCTTCGTTGACGGATCTATTGCGCCACCTTCTGAAACAGAACAACCAACAGAATTTGCTCTTTGGAATCAATGCAACAGCATGATTTTATCATGGCTCACTCACTCGGTACAGCCCGATCTAGCCAAAGGAGTCGTTCATACCAAGACTGCCCGTCAAGTTTGGGAAGATTTCAAAGACCAATTCTCACAAAAAAAATGCACCAACAATCTATCAGATCCAGAAATCCTTGGCTTCTCTCTCACAAGGCACCAGGACTGTTTCAGCGTATTTCACAAAACTCACCAATGAAGCCACTAGTATTCTCTATCTTAAAGGATGGAGATACAAATTAGTTGCTATTTATCATCCGGTGATTACCTGTGAACTCCATAACATTTGCCATTCCCCCTCCTCAAGTTCTGCTTCTCCTTTCCCTTTTTTCTGATACGAGGAGAGAAACTCTTCGATTGCCTTCAAAAGTAGAAATCATTCACATGATGATTGGCAGAGAGAAAGAAACTAATAAAATTATCTTCCTTCCATTATTCGGAAAGCAATTTATGACGGCACTATTTACCTCTAGAACTCCTGTATCTGTTGATATTGCTGAGAGCAGTTTTTGCCTGGGTTCTGTTTTCTTTTGTAGAACAAATGTGGTTCCCTGCACTACAGAGATTTTGCTGGAGTTTGAGCCACAAGTAAATCATTAGAATAAGAGGTTAGTTAATCTGCTCGGAGAGAATAAAGCGTCTGTTCACCTTGTTTCCTCTTGAGATTCGGAGGTTTCCAGACTGGGACAAATATGTGGTATCCAACCAACCCTTTGCCTCATCTCCTAGAAGTCTGAATGGGACAGGATACGGAACCTTAAACGGCAAAAACTTAAAAGAAAAGGCTGCTCTGTCAAACTGAAAAAGTATCCGTTTTCCATCTTTGATCAATGCTGCAGCCTGTTTTGAACCAAAGACCACATTGAGAGAGAAAAACCAGATTAAGTGGGGGGAAAATGGCAACTTTTACGGTTGAAAGAAGTTAACGAGCACTTAACAAAATTTTTGGAAACATTCACCCGCTAATCATCACCTTTTGAATTCCTAAAACTTGAGGAGTTTGGTATGGGAAGACCGTTGGCTTTGTGATCTTGTCCAATATGAATATAGGAAATACCATCATACTCAATAAACTTAAGAGCTACCGCAAGTGTTCTTCCTTTTTAGTGAGTCATCTTTTAATCTTTTCCTTATGCAAAGTAATGACATTGTTAGACTATACTGTCTGTTTTAGTACATCCTCTCATTACTTTCCTTATGCAAAGTAATGACATTGTTAGACATATAGATATATTATATAAGGTGATAAAAACAAGTATTTGCTAACAGTTGGGAGAGAAAGACAACATACCTCAACTTTGAGCTCACCGATTGCTTCAGAGAACTTTACAATATTGGTTACACGGGGGTCATTTGTTCTAAGGTATACCTCTTGAAATACGCTGAAGTTGTCTACCCCCACAAACGTTCTCTACAAAATTGCCATATAAACATTTAGCACTAATTGGAGAAAAGAAAAATATAGATATATATACATATGTATATCTTCCATGATAACATTTTCTTCTGAAATGTCCATTCTAAGGAAGTGAAAAATGATATTCATGAGACATTCATGATTCCAGGTCTTACTTGTATTGGAGACGCTGATCCGGGTCTAGTGGTGAACATCAATTGCCAGCGTCCTTCAATTAAACTAGAGCTCGTCTGCAATTGCTCAACATAAAACGGACATATATGTAAAGACTTCAATTACCTCTATCTATTTGTATATTTGAATGCATTGGTGGTGGAGCTATGTATAATACAATGAGATTTCAAAATTTTGATTTTTATGTGTAACATTTTTGTAAAATTAAAATTGTGCCCCACTCTATGAAAAAGTTGATAGTTGTACCCTTCCTCAGTAAAAGAAATTATGAATGTACTTCCACTAACTATTCTCAATTAGTTAAAATAACGCTAAAGACGCCATTAAAACTCATAAAGACTTTGGAGAAAATATATAAATATATATGTATATACACACTACAAAGTTTTTTAACCTTTGTCCACTGAAAATATTTTTTAGTTACTTAATGTGTAAAAATATTTAAGGTGTAGTGCTAATTGTACTTAAAATATTTTTGACGTCAACTCGCGTGATAGATGAGTTTGTATTTAATATGTAAAATAAATGTAACTTTTTAATACTAACTTAGAATGAGAAATTGCAATTATTATTATTATTATTTTTTGAAACTAAATTGCAATTTACTTGGTTAAAAAGTTAAGTAAGACTCCTAGTACAACTATCGTATGGTAAAAGTACATGTTGTGTAGAGATGATATATAAGATAAACGCACCGGATCAGGCACACCTTGTAAACCTTCTAGAGCCTGAACTGCTTGTTCAACATCCTGTAATCAAAGTAAGAAAGCGTTTCTTACATCACTAAAAAAAAAAAAAAAAGATTTTTTTAAGGAAAAAAAAATGAATGAATTTTCGAAAAGCAAATTAAAGAAGTCACAGTGAGTTGCTGAGGGGGAGCGGAGCGGCCTCGGCCTTGGATGCCGACGAGTGCTTCGATGAGCGAATTCTCTTCCTCCGTGAACGAGACCTGCCCTTGTTGCTCGTCCAAGAGAGCGCACCGACGCGTCAGAAGCTTGCTCGGCCGTCGGAGCATCAGAAATGAAGGTCTCTTGAGACATAGGAATGTCGACTTGGGGGCGGCGGAGGGAGCTGAAGCTGCGACGGCGTGGACTCTGAGAGCCATTACTTGATGAATTTGAAGAAATCACAAGTAGAGAGAGAGAGAGAGGGAGAGAGAGAGAGAGAGGAGGTTGTATGTTAATATTGTTCTTGTGGATTGTATTGGTGATTGGTGTGAGCGAGGGCGATTTGTGTGTGTGACACTTGGGTGCTCCACAATTCACATTCAGATACGCTTTGTTATCTATTAAATCGTTTTTTCTTTTTTTTTTTTTTTTTTTTGGTGTAGTTTATTATTGTAATTCTTGGCACCATGTTGGATTCTTTTTTTTTTCTTTGTAGTTTATCCAAATATAACATTTTGGAGGTCATTTCTTTTCCTTGTCTTTTTTAATTCAATATAAACTGATTTTGTACAAAAAGAAAAGAATTGGAATAATAAAAAAAATAATGAAAGTGGTGTTATCGTCAAGGATTTTTCTCTCTTAAATGGTTTTTTTTTTTAAAAAAATGTGTGTGTGTGTGTGAATATATATATTTGGCACTTTGTTTTTCTTTTGTATTTTTTTAGTAACAACACGTCAGTTTTTTTTAAACGTATCATATCTATTTACACAATAAAACGATACGTAGTTTCTGCTCAAAAGTAAAACAATTTGTGGTTTATTGCTTAAAATAGAAAAAGATGAGGCATAGCATGTGGTTTGGAAAATAAAGGGTTTGATTTGTATGAGGACAAAAATGTCTACACAATAAATGTCGTGAAATCATAAGAATTAAACGATACGAAGTTTAAGAAAATGTGGCGATATGATATGAATGAAGAAACATGTTATTCACAGAGATGAAACGACTAAAAACCAAAACTTGTCGTTTGTCTGAAGTTGAGAATGGCAAGTCTCTTTCAGGAAAAAGATTTACAATATAAAATGACTTGTTTATATTGGTAAGAACAACAGTTTGCAATTACTTGTCGTTGCCCTCAAAAGATTAAAAAGGCACAATCTTTGGACGTTAAGAAGACGACACAACAATATTATTATTCTGTTGTCGTTTTCTAGTGTTGTTCCTTTTACCTTATATTGTTTCTTGAATTGCTATCATCGTCCTCCTACGTCTTACCCCTTTCCAAGGTGTCATTTTCGGTTCTATGTCGTTTTATTTTTATCCTGAAGAAACGACATCTTGCTTTTATGATGAAAAAACTCTAGTAATGATAATAGACATACGAAAAACGATATGACGTTTTCTTTGGAGGAAGAGGTTTCCTAAGTATATTTCTTGTTTGTTTTCACTTGCACTCATTTTCATAAATTTGTCTTGATTTGCTAAATCTATGATATGAGAAGTAAACTATAGGGATTTACTGTGAATATCAACTGATTATAACGAAGTTGTATTCTGAACTTAATTGGCATTCTGATTTGTGTAAATGGCCACTTGAAAACATGATTTTTGTTTTAAACAACTAGGGGCATAATGCATGAATGCATGCATCGCACTTCATCAAAATTTAAAACTTCTTCAATAAGAAAGATTATCACTAACAAGAAACGGAAAGAATTTCAAACTTCTGTCCAAATCAAAGAAATAAATAAACCTTTTTTTTTTTTATATATATATCTCAACACGTACTATATCAAAGAACTCTGTTAATTGCGCACTACTATAAAACTTTTACCACGTTTAGTAAAGCAAATTAAACAATATCACAACAAATTGTTTCAGACTGATTAGCAATATCACAACAAATTGCAAGCTGTTTAATTGCTTCCGTAGCCGTCCATCCATCTGTATATAAATAATATGTATGGCCACTAATCCTAAAGCTTTTGGAATTATAATATATAACCTTCACCATTTTTTTTTATAAAATTAACGCATGCAAGTGGATACAGTAAAGTATTTTAGCTTTTAGATGTATGTATACATGCAAGAACCAATATGATATATTTAACTCTATACGTTTTGATTCATGAACTTGAGTACCAGCTGCAATAGAAAAGCTCTAATATATGTACCCGTCTTTGGCCCAATTTAGGATTTTTCTTGGAACCCCACAAAAGCATTTTGCACCCAAAAAAAAAAAAAAAAAAAAGTGTTTGCAAACTGTATAAAAATCTATATATCAATGCAGTTTTTACGTTAATTAGGTTAAGAAGCTGACATTTTAGCTTTTAACTTTTCTTTCTATTTTTGCTAATAAGTAGTAGTAGTTCTGCTTCTTTTAATTAAAATCACAACAATCCCAAATCTGATAACCATGAACGCACCATTGCTCTTGGTCAATCAATATTTAATCGTAATCTTTTACTATTAATTAAAAGCACTAATCTATGTTTTTGACTTTATAATTAATCAATCTATGAGTCTATTTAATCTTAATTTCTTATCTCAGGAAGTCACCACCACTATTGGCGGCAGCCGCCGTACGTCATGACCAGCACTAAACCTGTAAAGTATATTTGGTTTGGCTATAAATATGTTATCCCTCTTCATGTTTTCATATACCAAATCAAAGCTTGTTTCATTCTTTTGATTAGACTAAATAAAGAGAGAAAGAGAGAGAGTGCAATTAATTTCTATCGAAGTAACGATGAAGAAGAGCTTTGTTTATAATAACAACTTTTCTTCTTTGGTAGTTATAATCATTATCATTGGGATGTGTTCTGTTACTGCAAGATCCCAACTAACCACAGATTTCTACTACAAAACCTGCCCAAAACTAGGCATGATCGTCCGGAAAGGCCTCTTTAACGCACTCAAGACCGAAATGCGTATGGCTGCCTCTTTGATTCGCCTTCACTTCCACGACTGCTTTGTAAATGTGAGTTTTTATTTTTATTTTTATTTTTTTTACGTCACTGTTTATAATCACGTTAGTTTATCACAAAATAATCATTTATAAGTCTCTCTTTGATCATATGATTTAGGGTTGCGATGCATCGCTTTTGTTGGACGGAGAAGATAGCGAGAAATTAGCCGGTCCAAATCTGAATTCAGCAAGAGGCTTCGAAGTAATTGATACAATCAAAAGCGCTGTGGAAAGCGAGTGCAGTGGAGTTGTATCTTGTGCTGATATACTGGCCTTGGCTGCTAGAGACTCTGTCCTTTTAGTAAGTTAATTTGCCTTAATACTATCACATATTGTATATTGAATCTTAAGTTAAATATATATACATACATATATATATTCAGATATATATTATATAGTACTAATTAATCAAGGAGATAATTATTAATAGTTTTGCTTAAAAATATTGACAGAGTGGAGGACGTTCATGGAGGGTTTTACTGGGAAGAAGAGATGGACTGGTGGCAAACAAGACAGGAGCCAATATTTTGCTTCCTTCTCCATTTGACAGCCTAGAAACCATTATCACCAAGTTCCTCAACCCAGGCCTAAACATCACAGATGTTGTGGCTTTATCAGGTGCATATTTTGGGGGCCCTTCTGACGTAGCTTTTCATTTAGAAGCAACTAAATGGCTTTCCAAATCCAGAAAACTAATTATAAAAGTGTTTGGAAAGCCTACTCTTTCAAAAGTTTTTAGTTCAAGCCACAAAATAGAACTTCTTAAAAAGAATCTGAAAAACTAACAATTTATATCAAAATTATAAAATATTATAAACTCTATTCTAACATTTCTGTCCCTTTAAATTCCTTTAAAAATAATATACACACATTCACGTGTCTTTAAAAAAAAAAAAAAAAAAAAAAGCCCTAGTACTTGAATTAATTGTACGGGTTATGTGTATGCCTGCATGCACGCAGGGGCTCATACAATTGGACAGGCAAAGTGTGCATTTTTCAACAACAGATTGTTCAACTTCAGCGGGACAGGCGCCGGGGACCCTACGCTGGAGACGACCATGTTAAATGATTTGCAAAGCTTGTGCCCTCTCAACGAAGACGGCAACAAGACTACCGCCCTCGACCGGAACTCCACCGATCTCTTTGACAACCATTACTTCACGAACTTGCTGGTGGGAAAGGGTCTTCTAAGCTCCGACCAAATTCTGTTTTCTAGCGCAGCAGCTGTTAATACCACCAAAAGTCTGGTCGAGAGCTATAGTACTAATCCGGATCTTTTTCTTGAAGACTTTGTGAATTCTATGCGTAAGATGGGAAATATTAGTCCCCTTACTGGCTCTGCTGGAGAGATTCGGAAGAACTGCAGGGTTGTTAATTCAGCATGAACGTAAAATGAGTGCAATTTTAATTAATTAGCCAATATAATGTGTATAATATGCTAATGAATAGTACTACTTAAAAGTGTACCAAAGGGATTTGAATTTTATGTAATGCCAAAATTAGTAGCGCTGCAGTAGCTGGTTATTGAATAGACAAAACAAAAGAAAAAAAGTACTTGCGATTAATGGAAGTGCACATTTTCCACTGCCTAATTGACTTTAAAAAAAAAAAATATGATAATGCCGAATTGACTTGCTAGCAGAAGTGAATATAAGTAACGTAACACTATTTTTGGCTAGGAGTGAAGAAAACAAGTTAATAAAATTGATTTATGGTCTATGTAAGCAACCCATTACCGAGCAGTTGCATGATATATTAATATTTTAATTTGAAAAGTACAAACCGCAACAGATGGTTATTATGAAGAAAAAAAAAAGTTAATTTTGTTTTAGGACAGCATTTATGAGAATAAGCCAAATGTATACAAAAATGAACTTAAATAGAGGAGAAGATAAATTAGGGAGGAAGCAAAATCAACAAAATGTAGCTGCAGATTTTTCTCTTCTTGCTAATTTGATTTTTAAGTATCTTGCGTGATCTATACCATATCAGCTTCTTTTTTCTTTTTTTTTTTCAAACAAAAAAAGTCCGAAAAAAATAAGAGAGAGAAGTATATGAAAATTATTAAAAAAATAAAAATAAAAATAAGAAAGTGTATCGATAAATTATATTTTTTTAATTATTAAATATGTATATTTTTTAATTTTTACGTGATTTTATATTTAATAAATAAAAAACTTTGATACGTTAACCTACTACAAAAAGTCCTTGAAAAGTATTGCGTTCTTACCACCAAAACGCGCGTTTTGGTGACCTGCCTCTTTTTCTTTTTCTTTTTTAATTTGCTCCCCATCACCGTTGACGTTCTCCCCTACTCTTTTTCTCTGCATTTTATTCCTCTCTTTTCTCTTTTTGCCGGTTGATTGTTTCTCGGGAGATTTTTGGTTTGTTCAAGACGCCATTTTCCTGCTCAGACCTAGAGGTTTGCTTCTCTCTCTTCTTTCTGTCCTTTTTTCTCTTCTACGCCTTCTGATAGCTATTGTTTTGGGGATTTTTAATTTCTAGGTCTAAACTCATATTTTTTACTTGATTTTCTTCTTTATTCTTAATCATCTTCTACAAGGTTGACTTTTTATCATTTCTGTTTGAGCTCGATTGCAACTTCGGAAGAATGTTGATGAATCTGTGTCATCAGATCCATATGCCTTAACCACTATCTTCAAGGGAAGAAATTATCATGTAATTTAATTGTTGTGAATGAATCACTTCACTTGTGTAGTAAATTTTAGTTTCTTAGACGCTTTGATTTTTCAATTCAAATCCGCTGAAGAAGATGAATGAGAAATGGCGAAATCGAAATTAACCAAGGATTAAAGAAGTAAAGTCTGAATATTGATTACTCAACTTCGGTCATAAATGAAAGAAAATGAGTTATTCATTTATGTTCTGTTTCTTTTAGAGTTTTTTTTTTTTTTTTATGTTATTTTATTTTTTACATTGTAGTATATCATTGTACTTGCTCATTTTCGTCATTATTGCTCTGGATTTACTCCTACTGCAAAGCATGGTCATGTCATTTTGCTGTGTTGGATTCCGCGTTATCGAAGATGATTCTCATGTTGTGTTCCTATCATCTGTTGTTGCGTTTTGGTTCTTGCATTGGCAATTTTGTTTCAGGCTTTGTTATCAAATCACATTGAAGTAACGGTTCTTGTATTTTGGTTTTCTATTGCTGCATTGAAGGACAGACCATGATTTATTAACATTGTCAAGATTCTTGTTTTATTTGTTTGTGTAAGTTCGGATGCTCGAAAGTACTTATGAAATTTCATCTTACCTCTAGTTCTCTGAGATGACATACTTAGATGTAGAGTGCTTCGAGTTTTCTTATTTGTTTCCCTCTCTATGTATTTGAATCATACTTTCTCTTACTATTGAACTTGGTGGGTTTTTTGTGAGAAGTATTCTGTTCTATTTATTTAACTATTTGAATATACTGAACAAAGTAACTTGAGCTAAGAATTTCACCAAGCTGTATGTTCGGGAAATTTATTTTGATGTTTTTATCTCATGTTCAATTATTTGCGACTTAATAGAAAACAGGATTAGACATTTGAGTTATTTATGGGCTTACTTTTGCTACTTCATGTGGATATAATCATATAGCTTGTTCATCCTCTGCCATAGTGTACATTCAAGTTGCATTTTGTTAATTTGTTCTAAAAAAGACTCTATGCATATGCAGGTTGAGATTGGAAATTGTTCCTATGATCAGCTCATATCGTACAATGCACTTGCAGAGCATGTGTCGACACCTAGTATGTTAACATTACAGAAACTCAACTTTTAGATCTTCAGTTGTGAGAAAGCAGTCTGGTGAGAGCTTCACCGGCAGAGGTCTTGGTTAATCATTTTCTCCATCAGGATTTGGGACTGTTGCTTTCCCTTAAGAGATTTAGAGGGTATAGTATAGAAAAGGAGTGTTTCTTACTTCGGGATACCTTTATGTAAAAACAAACAAAGTAAAAGAAATGGCAGCAGCTCTGGTTTACCAGTTATTCTCGTCGTCAGCATTGGTGTCCCTAGGAGTGTACCACATGGCAGGGTCGACTCGCCTCTACCTGAAGTTCCCTCAGTCCTACTCTGCTAAACCATTCCACCCTTTCCCTTTTTCCTCGTCTTCTTCTTCTTCCCGCCTTAAGCACCTGCAGCTCTATCTCCTCCTTGCTGGCCTCCTCGTTGCCCTGGCCCATTACTGCCTATCCTCTTTCTACTCCGATCCGCTCCTCAAGGGCCGTACCCCTGTCCACCAATTCACCTCCTTACAATCAGCCACTGTGTGCTTCCTATTCATCTTGCTCGCACTTGCCCTCCTTCTTTCCGATTCCTTCCCCTCACTCCTCCCCCTCCCGAACGATCTCTTTTTCGCCTTGGGTGCTGCTTTCTTCTTCCTCCTCTCCTATATTTCCTCCTCTGCCGCCTCCCTCCAGACCTCCGACCTCCAAGCCAAGTGTGACTCCCTCTCTGCCCGAGTCTCAGCCATCGCCGCCCTCTCCTCTGTCGCCCTTGCCTGCCACCCGAGGCTCTTCCTTGCTGACCTTGGCCTCGGTGCTTCCCTTTGCCTCCAGGGCCTCTGGAAGCTGCAGACTGGGCTCTCCCTTTACGTGGATGCCTTCATACCTGAAGGCTGCCACCGCCTTCTTGATGTTGTCGGCGGCATTGAAGGTTCTACCAAGTGTGACTTGCAGGAGTCCAGCCTCAGAGCTGTGGCCATTCTGGATTTGGCCTTCTTGCTGCACGTCCTCTTTGCTTTCCTCATTCTGCTGGTCACCTACATTGTTGTTTCCAAGAGCGTCGGAGTTTGGAGATTGGGGTCTTATGAAGCCTTGCCCACTACTGTCCACGACCATAACCATATTCAGCTGAAGTCTATGACCGGCACCCAGGCCTAGACTTGACACTGCCCAACTCCGTCTGCTGATTAGCTATTTTTGGTGATGAATCTTTTTTCCCCTTCATTCTTTACTTCAAGTACTTGGACCTCCTTTTTTTTTAGGATTCTGGTTTATTTTTGAGATATTCATTCTCTGTGATCTCTTGGGGGTTGTTTTAGATGCTTTTCTTAACTTTTAGTCTTTTCCAACTCTGGGTGACTACTGCCATAATATTGCGTTATGCTTCCTGACAAGTATGGCTTTAGTTTTGAATACGCTTATAACATTTTTTTTTGTTGTTGTATATATTCTGTTTTACTAATTTTTTTTTACCTTTCTTTTTTCCAAAATTTATTCTAACTAAAATGACTACAAGGTGAAGGTGACAACTTCCTTATCTTTGGATGAATAATCTTAGGAACACTAAAAGCGTGTTTACTTTGCATCAAAGGGAAAGGGAAAGCAAAGAGTGATTCTCCTTTTCATTTAAGAGCATCGTAAAGGGTGCTCTTTAAATTTTAGTTAAATTCTAGCTATAATTGCTAAAAAGTTATTTTAATTAATTTTTAGTGAGTTACTCTAATCATTCTCTCTATTTTAGCTAAACATATATTATTTAATATTTTTTGAGTTTAAAATATAAATAACCTTTTTTAACTTTTATTTTATGTAAAAATAATAATAAAATAATAAAAATAAATAAATTGCTAGTTACTTCATGCTAGCTATATGTAACTAGTGAAAAATACTTTAGCCAAATAGCTAATCATTTAGCTAATGGTTGGAGTGGAAAAAAGTTTTTAAACAAAAAAAGTTAAATCATTAGCTATTTTAGTTAAAAACGTGAATTGGTTAGCATGGTTGGAGTTACTTGATAATGTGTTTACTTGTAAAATTAATAATAGAAATTTAATTGGTCAAACACAATAATATAGGGATTGAGGAAAGGCAATACTAATCCTTGCAATCCTTAGTATTGATTCTCGGTCAAAGAAAATGAATACTAAATTTATTTATTTACCCTTAATGAATTATTATACAATCAATGGTTATTTAATTGTGTAAAAAAATATTTTATTGATTACCTTCATAAAATTGTTATTCCTAATTTTAGTAAACATAAGAAAGATGATGGGGTTTTTTCTCATTATACTATCTAATAGTCAAGTAAACATATGAAAGGGAATGAATGATCATCAATCTTATTACTTTACTTTCCTTTTCAATCTCATTATTTTTTCTATTACATTCTTTTACGGTTTAGTAAACGCATCTTATATGTCGTTTTTATGCTAGTTGTATCCTTAATTAATGATAATTAATGAAATTATATTTTTATCACACTATATTATTAAATTTTTATATTTAATAATAATTACGAATGAAAACGATTGAAAACAAGTCTCATTACATATTATCAAAACAGACCAAAACATATAGAGGACTAGTTGCATAAAGATAACATCCATCTTGATGAACACATAGCATCTGATTTACTTCCCCTCAAAAAAAAAAAAATGTCAGCATCGTTATTTATTTATTTATTTCCTTTGTTTAAGCATTTGATAGAACGACGCTACCCCAACATGAAAATGAGAAAACGACAATAAAATTTAAGAACGAAAACAACATTTGAGACTACTACAACTGAAAAAACGAAGACAAGTTACAACCAAAGGTTAATCATATAAATTACGACATCGGAATTTAAAAACACCAAACAGGTAAAAGTCGACAGCTAGAAAACTTATACACAATTTATCAACGACAAAAACTTAAACATAGTCCTAAACATTTGAACCGGAAGAATTTGTTTCTACTTTTGTGTACATTCTGTTAAATAGAAAGATAAAACTCACCCATTAATTATTAACTTCACTAAAGAAGTAAAGAAAAAACCATAATAATTTAATCAAAGATGTCATAAATATTTGTACTTTTGCTATTGTCTCGTGTAGATTAAAAATAGTAATAATGTATCTCGGGAACCTTCTTTTCAAAATTTAAAATTCAGAAGTTAAACTGAACATGATCCCAAAATATAACGACACCAATGAGAATAATCCACCAACTTAATTGACTCTAATAAATTTAGTAAAAACGCTAAATTTCACTCCAGGGAGAGGCCTTGTTAAAACCTTATAAATTACAAAAGATAAAACCCAGCTAGTAGAAAGAAATAAATCCAAAAAGCAAAAAGAGTGCATGACATTAATTGTAGCTGAATCTACCCTTGAAATAAAGGCGGCTATACAAATTAAGAGAATATTTGGTTAGATAATTTAAATTTAAATTAATAATTTATTATAATATTTTTTTTTATAAAAAATACACATAAATTAAAAATAATTTTAATCTATAAACTAAAAGTCTCCTTATTATATTTCCGACCGCAACAAATTAAGAAGAAATCATTGAAAATTGATGAGCATCACAGAAACGCGGACGCCAGAGAGAAACATGCAGTCAATTTCAGAATTCTGACGGAATAAAACCACCAGATCCTGAATTGTCTTAGCATATGAATCATATGTCTCCCACCTCATTGGCTTGTCAGAAAATTTGACAAATCCTATTTAATGCCTTCTATTAGTACTGGAAAATAGACTAAACAAAATCTGAAAAAAAACGGCCTCACCGGAAACCGAATATAGTCGGTTCGGTTTATGTTTTTAGAATATTTTTATGTCTTTTGAGATATAAAAATAATAACGGTATGTAAAATATTTATTTAGTAAATATTTTAAAAATAAAGATAAAAATAAAAAATAATGAGAATAATTTTTATAAAACAATTAAAAAACGGTTGAAAATTATTTTCTTTTTTTTGTTTTCATTTCTTAATACTTATCAATAAAGGTATAATATATTAATTAATAATTATAACTAAACACGATTTTATTTTTTTTATTATACTTAAAATAATCTCTTAAAAAACTAACCAAACACAATTTTAAAATTAATCTTAGAATAATTCTCAAAATTATCTCATTTTTACCTTTATATTGAAAAATAAAATCATTTTGAAAACGTTATTAAACCAACCCGCTGTGTTTTTTTGTTTTTTGAGCCACACATAAAATAATGTGTACATAATTCTGATAAGAACCAGGTACCAATAAATTATGTGTTTTTTGTATCAAAAAATTATAAATGTGTTTTTCGAATCCTATTGGTCCAAAACTAGATTTTTGTTTACCTCCTTTTTTTTTTAATTTTTGAGTAACTAGTATACTTCTTCTGGTCAGTAATGAGCCACACATCATTCAACAGCAGTCAGAGCAAACCAGGCCGACCGCTTTTAGCAATTTGTCCTCCACTTTGACTATATATCCTTGTATTAACCAATGATTTTTCCGATTAGCAAAATAAAAAAAAAATTAAAATAAAAACCACTATCTTTCCGTGTGAAAGGAACATTCAATTAATTAGTAGTATTTTTTTTTTCCTTAAGCTAGATATTTGCTGGAGCTCAGCCTCTACTGACTATGGATAGAGAAGTGGCCTTGGCCATTGCACTAATCTGCAGCCACCGAACCTGGGACTTTTTTTTTTTTTTACACAATTTTATTTTTTAATAAAAAAATTAAAAAAAGAGTTTTTTTTTTTTTTTTTTCCTGTTGCGATTTTGATGAGCATTGAGTTCTAACAATATATTATAATTCGCTCTTTGATTGTGGACAAATATTAACCTACGTAAAATGTTACCATAAGTTCGTTTTTGGATTATGTACTGAAGACTCGTATAAATTAGTGAACTAGTGGGCGTAACACTTTTTATATCATAAAAGTCAAACTTATTCAAAGTTTAATTATAAATGATGGTTGGAATATATACAGTATATCCATTAACTTGAAATTCCACGTATGTTATCAAATCAATTTGACCATGTACTTTTCTTTTTCTTTTTTTGGATAATTCACGTACTTTTTCAGTCTCTCTCTTTTTGGACTGACCTTTGAAGAAATGCAATCCAAATATATGCCAACTTGTCCAAGGTAGTGTATTATTGTAGATCAATTGGGAATGATAATAGACTGGGTTCTAGAATATAGGATGCATGTGTATTTATTGACATATATATATATATATATATAAAGGTAGAGCATATAACATATGTAGTAATTCTAATGATGGTTCACATTATATCATGCATATGATAAATAACTCAGACATGCCTTTTAACCCCACAAAAAAACATCTATTTATTGAAACAAATATACAAACAGCACAAGATCTTACGTACGTAGATTGAGTAAAAAAAAAAAAAAGTGAAAATTAAGAAATAAGTAATTTTAGTGGGGATCTCTAAAGTTTACCACAAATATTTTAACCAAGTATAGAGCAGTTGACTTGTTATTTTATCATGATAACAAGTCCACGTATGCCATATATTGGTGTAAAAATTTGGGATGTATGTAGACTCTTTCTTAACTAAATATTAATCCATAATATGCACCACTTTTTATAAAGTAGTTGAATTTGAAGCCTAGTGCTTTCACTTCAACCTAAACCAATTTCGGGGTTAATCTCATCGGCACCTCTGAATTTTGAGGTTAGTTTGCCCCATAAATTTTAAGAACTCACTCTATTTTTAAATTTTAAATTTGTCTCACTTAACTCATTTTATTAGACTTTATGTTAAAATCAGACAGAAAAGATGAGATTAATTATGTATTTTCCATTTGTTTTTAACAAAAGTTTTAACAACAAGACCACGTGATCACACTGTCACATTTTTTTCCGAAAGTTTATAAAAAATTGTAATAAAAAGAAGTTAAGTGAGACTAATTCAAAATTTAAAAGATAAAATTAAAATTTTTAAAATTTAAAAGTCAAACTGAGCATGATCTCAAAATATGTAACGCCGCCGATGAGAATAATCCACCAACTTAATTGACTACATGCGCACAATAGTTGGTGCATGTTCAATAGAAACCCCAAAAAGCCTCATCTGATTAAACTTGGTCACCTCAACCCTGTAGTGTAGTAGTGCTCCAGTTGCCTGGTCAATCTCCTTAAACAACCTGACTTCATCACCAATGCTTAGCCCTTTACTCACAACAAATCTGTGCCAATCTCCGGAGAGAACAGGTTTTCTGAAGCCGCCTTTCTTCCGAATATAGCAAGAAAACCTCCAAGGGGAACCCCTTTTGTCCATGACCCGTAGATGAACGACATTTCGTCCCTCAAAGCCCGGCAAATTCTTGATGCTCTTGGATGGGAATGATAATCTGCTCGCAACATCCGTCT